TTGTTCTAATGAAATAGGATATCATGTTTGCTTCTTGTACAGCAAATAACCACTAGGAAGAATGTATGCAATGTGTTGATTACTGAAACTGTCCTACCAAAAAAAAACAGCACTCCTTGCCTCACTTTCTTCTCTTCTTTCTCATATCATTTTGAAAACTTTGCCTTGCATTCTCTGGATCCTCATTCCTTCCACCTTCACTAGTGTAACTACTAGACTTTTGAATCTCCAGCTAGCTAGTTAACTATTGCTATTGCTACAGACACTGTTCTATGATGGAGGTTGGTTTGTCGTAAGAGTTTATGACTATAAATCTGTATCTTATAATTAAGGATAGTATGTTATTGGTAGTCTGTCAATATTCAGTTTACATCTGACATTACCATTGATGCTGATTTTAATATAGCTAAGATGACACAGATGTTGCTATTAATTGGTTTTTGTGGGATGCCAATAACTGGATTCCCATGGGGTCAATGGATTTAATAGATATCTGTAGTGTGTTCCAACTAACAACAGAATATAATTATTTTCAGCAATAAATCCAACTTTTTACAAAATAGACCACATATCAGCCAATAAAACTCGCTTAAGTGAACATAAAAGAACTAAAATAGCCCATTCCTAGAAAACTGTGTACTGTGTCAAATACACAGCAACCTTTCATTTCAAGTAAACAGACATGGATGGAACATAGGACAGAGACATTGGCCAATAGTTAGCCATGCTTAGAGGGCACTACTCAAAAGTAGACATGAACTAATGGGGTATCCATACTAGAAACACAGATTTCCACTACAGTCAACATATAAACCTCAACACAAAGAAATAAAAACAGAAACAGAAGACAAGCCAATAAAATGCCTTCAAAAACTCCTCTTTCAAAGCTGATACAAAGAACAACAAAAGGAAGGATGGTAAAAGCCATATATCTGAGTTATTTGAAATACTATCTGGGGGAAAAATATCAGTAAGTTATTTGGCAAGCTCACTGAAGATGTGAGTCAAAACATAATGGGCCAGATACACAGAATGATTAGCTGGTCATTCTACAGAAGACACTACTGACAAGATAGAAGAGTTAAGCACAACGATGCAAGCTGAATGACTAGCACAGAAAAGAATTAAGAGCCTATAAAAGGGTTGTCTGCATCTTGTACAACAAATAACCACTAAGAGAACAATATTCAATGTATTAATTATTGAAAATGTGCCAGTAATCGGTTGTGAAATTGTCTCACTGACATTTGTTTCTCAATAAAACTATAAAAAAACAAAAGGTTGTAATTAGAAATTCAAGAGAATAAAATTTGATTCAAGTATGAGCAGCAGGTGACCAAGGTGAGGTCAGAAAGTCACAATTAGAAGAGATGGCTATTGTTTGGTGACTAAATAATGAGAGACAGCTTTAAAACATCAATAAAATAAGAAAAATCAATCCAAAAGCTCCTAGGTAATGAAAAGAAGACTATCTATGATTAATTGTAATTAGTGAAAACTTAGAAGACAACAGAAATGACCTAAAAACATGTTTACTGAAATAACAGCATAAAACCTTTCCAATAAGGAAAAATAATTTAACATGTGAGACATACAGAACCAAAAAATAGCCACCATCAGAAAAGAAGTTCAACAAAATGGATTATTAAAACTGAACAGAGAAAAACAATGTCTCACTTATAAAGGAAAACTCATCAGAATTGCAGCAAATTACTCAACATAAACCTTTAAGTGCAAAAGATCTTGGAATGAAGTGTTTCACACCCCAAAAGAAAACAATTTCCAACCCAAGCTGATATAACCTACAAAATTACCTTTCCAAGTTGTGGGAGAAATAAGATACTTTCATGATAAAGAACACCTAACGAAATTCCTAACCACCAAACACTCCACAAAATTTTCAAGGATACCCTAGAAAGAGATAACAAAGCTGACAACAAAAGCTATAATAGAATGAACATGTCAAGTAGGACAAGTACTTAAGTAGAAGGGAAAGGTGAGGAATCACCAATGGGAAATAAGGCAATGTCAGGAATAAAAGCTCCTATCAGTAAAAACTCTCAAGATAAATGGTCTCAGTTCCTCAGCCAAAAGACACAGGCTAATAGGATGAATCAAGGAATAGAATTCTAAAGTATTTTGTCTACAAAAAAACACATTTAACACAAAAAGAACCCCATATAATAAAATAATACAACTCAAAACATGGAAAACAGCATCACATGCAATAGGAAGCTCCCTAAAGTAGATGTAGTTAACCTAAATGTAGACAAAGCGAACTGCAAGCCAGAGCTGATCAAAAGAGGTAAAGGCGGTCACTACATATTAGTTAAGGGAACAATCCAACAGGAAGAGATAATTATTAACACTGTAATACACATCAAACAATGGCAATCCAACTTTCTAAGCAAGTACTACTTGACATAAAAGACCAGATAAACACAATTATAGTGAGGGATCTCACTACCCCACTAATACACACAGGTCAAGTAGACAAAAAGGCACAAAGAAATTAAGAGTTGACTGAAACTTTCAAAGAAATGGATTTAACAGGTTATCTAGTGTTCTACCCAACAACAGAACATACTCTTTTCAGCAATACCTGCCACTTTCTCCAAAACAGACCACACTAGCCAATAAAGTAAGCTTAAGGAAATGTAAAATAATTGAAATTATACCATGTTTATTATCATAGAGGAATAAAGTTAGAAATCATTGAAGTTATTCAAAACCATGAGAAACTAAACAATATACTCTTAAATAACACAATGAGTTATAGAAAAAATAAAGGAAAAAAAAAAAAAAGAGCTTCTAGAACTAAAAGACAATGCCTGTACAACATACCAGATTTTATGGGACATAATGAAAGCAGTTCTGTGTGAATGCTCACATCACAAAAATAGAGTAAGCCCAAATAAATATTCTAATGATATTTAATATGATTAAATATCCTAAGAAAATATGAATAATCTAAACCCAACGGTAGTACAAGAGGGAGAAAAAGGTAGTACAAGGAAGGAAGTTATAAATATCAGCAAAATCAATGATGCTGAGACCAAACAGAAAGAATTAATGAATCAGAGTTGGTTCTTCAAAACTTAAGTGGTAGCCAATCTAACCAAAAGGATGACCCAAATCTATGCTATTTAAAATGAAAAAGAGGAAATTATGATAGACAATGCAAAAATCCAGAAAGCTAGTAGCAACTATTTCACAAATATATGTCAAAATGTTGTAGAACTCAGAAGGACCAGAGATTCTTAGATGCATATGAATTACTAAAACTGCATATGAATTACTAAAACTGAACAAAGAAAATTTAAAAACTTCTCTTATCATATACTATACTAAAACTGAAATAGATCAAATAACTAAATGTTGAAACAGGAGATAGTATTGAGAATCAACAAATGAGGTCATACCAAATTAAAGTTTATGTACAGAAAAACAACTACCACCACCACCAAAGTGAAAAGACAACCTACAGAATTGGATTTTTTTTTTTTTTTGCCAGCTATTCCTCACACATAGGACTAATATCTAGACTATATAAAAAAATTTAAAAATTACACCTGCTAATATAAAAGACCCAATCAAAATATCAGAAAATAACATGAATACGCACTTTACAGAAGTACAAATGGCCAATAAGAAAATAAAGGAACGCTCAACATTGCAAGTCTTTAGAGAAATGCAAATTAAAACAACATCAAGATTCCATCTTACCTTGCTATCATCAAGAAATCAAATACTAACAAATGCCAGTGAGGCTGAGGCAAAAAGAAACCCTTTTACAATGTTGGTAGGAGTGGAAATTAGTACAACCACTAGGAAAATCAGTACGAAGACTCTTCAAAAAGCTGAAACCTAGAAATTCCCTTTCCTCCTCTAGCTTATGTCTTCCCAAGTTAAAGACATCATATACTGATACATGAATACCCATGCTTGTACCATAGTCCCTAACAGCTAAATCTTGGAAGCAGTATACATGCCTATCATCACATGATGGACAAGGAAAATGTGGTATCTGTACTACTCTGCCATAAAAAAGGCAAACCTGAGGTGCTTGTAAGAAAACTGATGCACCTTGGGACCATAATGTTAACTGAAACTAATCACACATTCAAACTTAAATGTCACGTAGTTTATCTTATCAGAAATCCTAATCAAAAGAGCAAAATAATAGAGAAGAGCAAGTAGGGAGATGCTTTTTCTCAAAATTGAAGGGGATCAAGAAATGGGTGGAGGGGAGATGGAGGGGAAAGATGAAAAGACTCAGATGTGCTACATACACGTATAGATTCTACACAAGGGATATAAGCAATATGCACTGCAAACTTGTGCAGGAAGGGGATCAAGAGACAGAGGGAAGGAGGAGGAAGGGAAAGAGGATGAAAAATGGGGTGAAGATGTGTTATATGTGTGTGTCACCTTCCCACAAGGAACACACATTATGATCTGAAAAGAAGTTGAACAGCTTTCAGACAGTATGCCTAGTCACCATGCAGTGTGTCCATATGAATATTCTATTTCCAAAAGAAAAATGGGAAGATGGAATTTTTGTAGGGATTATATGGAATCTGTAGATCAATTTTTTTTTTTTTGCAGAACTGGGGATTGAACTCAGATCCTTGCGTTTGCCAGTCAAGCGCTTATCCTAATAAGCCATCTCCCCAGTCCCACTGTAGATCAATTTGTGTAGTAATGATGCCTTAAATCTTATTTAGTTCATCTTTAATAAGGTTATATTGATATCAAATAATAGTTTAAAATGAAAACCATGGATTATATATAAAACTGAGGGTTACACTAATGACAACCACTTATAATCTTTCATTTTGATTTAACTTTCAAGGCCTTATGATGTACTACATTCTGCCTGCTAGTTTTCCATAGATTATCTCAATTTTATCCTATACTTTCTCTTTTGTAAGTGCATTTTCCAAAACTGCATTGATATGCAAAAAATTGCAGATTGTTTAATTTTTATTTGAGAAAACCAGGTAAAAGCAAAGTACAATTTTTCTTGGAAAACAAAGGAATTCATTAATGTTAACTGCTTTTCATAGCAAAAATAAATTATGTACAGTTTAGCTCCTGGTTTGCATTATAATTCTTTACACAGATACACACATTTCATATACATACACTGAAGGAAAAGAAAAAGTTACGAACTTCCACTGGAATGGATGATCTGTAGCCACTGTTATTCCAGAATAATTAATACCAGTCTGCACACAAGATCAAATTTGTCAGTCAGATTTCGGTTCCACACTGTCTAACGAGTGCCACCCGTAAGCATCACACACAGCTCAGGAACAGCTCAGGACGCTCACGTACCCTGAAACTCTAGTGCCAAGTTCTACCTTGTGCCTATCCAAGGCTTCCAAGGTGCGTTTTTTCCTTCTTTTGGCTGAGTGTGTTTTTAAAATTACCTCAGAAACACGTACCCAACTATGTGCTACGTGTGACAAGAAGCAGGAAGGAGAGCACGGCTACGGTGGCCAGCAGCGCGGCCCAGTTTTCTTCTGTCTTCTCACAACCTTTTAGGACAGTTATTTTGGGACAAGAGCAATAAACTGGGCTCAAAAAGGCAATTTGGCACACACACATTAATAACTAAAAGAAAGCAAATAAATCTTCAAGTAAAGGGATGGTTACTATAATTAACAATGCATTTGACTGCTGACAAGATTTTATGTAGCATTGAGAACTAGTATTATAAAAAAAATCTTTCAAACCTTTCACAGTATTTTTTGTCATGTTTGTGTTCCAGAATAAAGAACAAATGTAGAATAATACTAACTCAGTTCAACATTTATTTAGTTCCATATTAATAGAGAACAAAAGAACATTCTTACAATTTACAGAAAACTCATTCTCAAATCTCTAACGAAGACTATGTGTCTGAAACCAAAACAACCGTTAGGGGAAGCACAGGCCCTAGGGCCATCAGGAGAGCAGAGCCTGCACTTGCTGCGGTGACCTGTGCAGGATGCCCTCGGGGTCCTTATATTCATTAGTGGGATTCATGACAGCTGCATACACTTCAGCATAGGCTCTGCACACCAGTTCTGTAGACTGTTTCACAATCTGCTCTCTGTGGATAAGCAAACAAAGCATGAACACTTCATCTGAAAGAAAGTATCCTTTAAGAATTGTAAGAAAACTTCACATTTGAACCATTGTATTTTATTTCTATATTTATCTTATCACTATTTGAAAATCATTGCAAGACTACACAAATTACTTCCTTGATTTGGGGATAAAATGTTCTTAAAAAATGTTTATTATTCATTAAAGTCGTCCTCATTACTAGGTAGATACCTCAGGGATGGGGCTCTGCTTTATTCCCTCATTGTGCTACTTTAAGGCTAGAACACTGCCTGCATGGCATATACAGATGCTGCTCACTTATGACTGGGTTCCACCTAATAAACACAAGAGTAAGCTGAAAATATCAGGAGTTGAAAATGCATTTAGTAACGCAATCCAGTGAATGTCATAGCTAGTCTAGCCTACCTTAAATATGCTCAGAACACAACCGTAGCCTGAAGTTAGGCAAAATCATCTGATTTATTCTATCACAAAAAAGGCCTGTTCTATAACAAAATATATTCTATAACAAAGCCTTGAGCACTTCATGTCATTTACTGAACATAGTGTGCTGCTCTTTTGCTTGGTAACTGACTGGGAGCTGAAAATTACTACTGCTAAGGTAGGAGAAGATCACAATTCAGACTTTCTACCATATATATATCACTTTCACATCATCATGAAGTTGAAAAATCATAACCCAAGGGCCAGCCAGATTGCTCAGCAAACGGGACTGGGGTTCCAATATCCCCCTGCCCCACACTTGCAGGCCATGTTGGTGAATGAGATAGTGAATGAGACTGGATGTGGTGGCCTGTGCCTGTAATCCCAGCCCTTGGGAGGCTGAAAACAGGAGGATCACTACGAATCTGATCTGCATAATGAGACCCTGTAGACCCTGTACTAAAAATACATAAAAAAAAAATCATAAGTCAAACCTTTTAGGTCGAAATTGTAGACTACTCAGCTATGATCCAAAACCAGTGTATTAATGCTTTTAAAATGACTAATATCACCTAAACCTTGAATAGAGAATTTTTAAATATATCAACACTTCTATTTCAGAAAAACTTCGAACTGCCTATTCACCTATAGGCCCTATGCTAATACCACATGGTCTACGTTTCCAAAAACTGCTACATCTTCCAAAGTGAGACTAGGTAGAAAGGTGATGTACTAAGCAAATTCTTAGAGTGGAGTGGCACAACTGATTGTACTGGCTGAATTAAAGCTCTGATGGGAGGGAACTACCAGAAACTGGTTTTGAAATCTACTTAACTAGATGAGGTCTCAGATATTTTTTAATCTATTTTGACTTCTTTTAATTTATTAAACTTAAAAATGAATTTCACCAAATGATGTATAAATTAACTTGTCACAATGAAAAAGCTGAAAAACACTATAAATGTGTTTTTAAAATTGGCAAAATACATATTTGATAATTATTTTAGAACAAGTTAGATGTTAGATTTTAGAAATAGAGTTTTTAGTTCCTAAAGGAATAACAGATTTTTTAGCGGGGGGCACACAGAGCATTTACTACACTTCACACTTTAAAATCGATATACAACTTGAACATGGCATATGTATACATTTATAGTATAAAAAACCATAGAAATAGTTTTATCTTTTTAATTTTAAGAAGCTTGAAGGAAAAAAGTACACTAGTGAATATTAGATGTAACTTTAAAAATGTGGAGAAATGGGTGTATAAAGAATGACTTACTAAAAATACTGAAGTATTACACTTTTCATTTAAGCACAGAAAAGTAAGATCAAGCCAATAAAAGCAAGCAAGGGTTTGTCACTTATTTCAGATTCTGAGTTTTGATGGTATAGGGCTGCTTCATTCCATTTCAGAGTAAGAAGGAAGGAATTAAAAAATTAACATTAGTATGGCAGGGGAGAGAGAGATATCAAAGTTGACAGAAAAAAAATGTCTTTCAGATAGTGACAAGAAAAGAGGGAAGAAAGAGGAACTGTTCCTTTTGCTGTCTGCTTGCGGCCCAAACCAACAGGGCAGGAGCAAGTGGGAATGCTGGTGCAGCTCACCTGCACAGATCCTCTTCCGCTGGAGTCTGTATGACTCAGCAGAGACAACATGGCACAGCGAAGGAAGAGCTGTCAGAGGGCTCAAATCCTAATGGAAGCTCTGCTGCTCGCTGCTGCTGCCCTGAACTTTCAGGACTAACCTCTCCACTGCAAGCAAAGCATCTAATTAGATAATCTCTGTAAGGTGCTTTCAGCTTTTTTTTTTTTTTTTTTTTTTTTTTAGTACAGGATCTCACTACACAGCTCAAACTCATAGTGATCTTCCTGTTTTCAGCCTCCCAAGCGTTGGCATTACAGGTACGCCCCCACACCCAGTCCTGGGGGCGGGGCCAGTACAGCATGCTGGGGATCAAACCCTGGTCCCTGTGCCTGCCTAAGCAGGCACTTAACTCCACTATCTGGCCAGCTCTACTTTTAGCTTTTAAATCAAGCCTTTTCTTTATACTTGACAGTTAATACTATTTTAATGAATCCCTACAGTAAAAAACCAGTAATAACTAGTATTTACACACACACACACAAATTATTTGAGAAACTGGATTCCCTAAATGTCATAAGCAACCACACATCACAGATGTATCTGTAGTGCTAAATCAGTCTTATTCCCTAATTTATTTTTTATTGTTCCTTTTTAGTTCCATTAGTAATTACCATGTAAGTTTAACCTTTATTTTAAAAAGTATATGTAAATGTCCATCTGTCATATTGCCTGTTTTCTTGTCTGGTGTATTAGCCCGAAGTGTTTTGCTAAGTACTAGTATTTCTGAAACACCAGTTTCTTTTTTATAAAATGTATTTGGTTGTTGCAAGGTCTCACTATACAGCTCGGATTCATGGTGACCCTCCTGCTTTCAGCCTCCCCAGCACTGGGTTATAGGTACATGCCACTATGCCCAGTCTTGGTCTCTGTGGCCGGCTCAGCACATCCAGGATGGGGCCAGCATGGCCTGTGGTGCCTAGGATCGAACTGTGGTCCCTGGGCTTGCCTAAGTAGGCGCTTAGTCCACTGAGCTATCTCGCTTGGCCAAGACAATGATTGTAGTCACAAATATTCAATGCTCAAGTTGGAAAAATTTTAGATATCCTGTAATTAAATCCAGAATGAACAACAAAGCATCTCACTTCAGTCAATGTGCTTTTAAAAACTTGTGAACTCTTTTTATCTATTGATCATTTCACTGTAGTATGGGCTTCCACCAGCATTATGATCAATCATAGCCACACTGACAGATAGAGAGTAATTTTAGAATTGGTTCTATAGTTTTGCTGTTAACAGGATCAAGGATATGCAAAAAGGTCAGACAATGGTGGTGACTCTACGGCCTGTGTGCTGCAGCCAGCTGTCGATCACTGAAAGCCGGAAAAGGTTCACTGTCACTGACACCATGTTTCATCTTTCCTACCATGAAATGTTCTTGGGACTAATTTCCTAAATCATACTCTACTGACCTTTGGATAGATTAACAATCCATTCAGTACAAATAAAATTTTCAAAAATTAAAAACATTCCTACAACAAATTAAGACATAAATGAAATTAAAAAATCTAATAATTTATTAATGATGAAACTGGAAAAATGATAAGACTGGTTTACATACTATTTTGGGGAGATGGCCATTTACAAGCATTGTTGGTGGTAACATAAACTAGTATAACCACTCTGAAAGGTACACTGGATATTCCTCAAAAAACTGAAATCAGAAATTCTATTTGAGCCAGCTCTTCCACTTCTAGGAATCTTCTCTAAAGAGTTACAGACATCATACCACACGGATAAATACATGCCCGTGTCTGCAGCAGCATAACTCATAATAGCAAATCTTGGAAATTGAATATATACCCAACAATAGATAAATGAATGAATATGTCGTATCTGTAGATAAAGGAGAGCTACACTACCATAAAGAAAAGCAAATTGAAAAGAAAAGTCACATCTAGGAAAATGGATACACTTTGGGATCGCAATGTTAAATGAAATAAAACAGACACAAAAGCTTAAATATCTCATAACTTCTCTTATATAAAAGTCCAAATTCTAAATATATATATATATATATATATATATATATATATATATATATTTAAAGACAGGTAATAGGAAACAGGGTTACAGATTTTTTGCAAATGGGAACAGAATCCAGAGACAGACAGTGGGGAGAGAAGCGGGAATACAAAAGAATTAATATACATTAAATACATGACCTACTCTTTAAGATAAATTGTAAACCTTACATACTGCGAACATGTACTAATAAAAAATTAAAAAGAAAAACAGGCTATATACGAAAAAGTTAATGTGTTAAAAGAAAAATCGTAAGGGCCAGTGAAATAGTTCAGAGGACTAAAGCACCTGCTTAGGCAACTGCAGAGATCGGGGTTTGATCCCCAGTACCACATGCTGCACTGGCCCTGCCCCTGGGTGCACTGAGTCGGCCACAGAGACCAGGCATGGTGGCATACATCTGTAGTCCCAGATCTGGGGAAGCTGAAAAAGGACAATCACTACGCGTCTGAGCTGCATAATGAGACCCTGGACCATATACATAAAAAAAGAAGAAGAAAAGGAAAATCATAACCTTTCACATTATCTTTTCATTTTTTAAAATTTTTATGGATTTGGCACAGGGTCTTACTACACAGTTCAGACTCACAGTGATCCTCCTGACTCAGCCTCCCCAGCACTGGGATTATAGGCGGGAACCATAATGCCTGGTCTTGGTGGCCGGCATGCAGTACTGGTACCAAGTACCAGGTACCAGGTACCAGGAACTGGGGATCAAACCCAGGTCCTTGAGCTTGTCTAGGTAGGCGCTTAGACTGCTGAGCTATCTCTGCAGCTCCTGCGCTATCTTTTTTATAAGATAACGTATCTACATAGTTTGGGAACTTTAATCAATAGTAAACAGAAAGAGCAAAAGTACACTTCCCTCAATAAATGTTGGGAAAATCCAACATTCTTACATTTAGAAGGAAGTTTGCTACACTGTAGCATATAGCAAACAGAAAATGTAATAGTCATCTAGTTATTTAATGTTAGAGGAAAGAAAACAACTGAAGAGGCTTAGTAGGCTACACAATTTCACAGAAAGCCACCTTTTTCAGTTATTTGTACATAAGAATATTCTACAAGGACAAATCCACTTAAAAACTCACAACGTGATACTATCCTAGTACTCACATAGCTTTTGCTAAGTAATAAAATGGGAATTTTGACTGCAGTTCTGTTGAATTTATAGATGAATCTATAAATTCCAAACTCTTAATAAAGGTTAATATGGAATCACTTATAAAATTCATTTGCATTTTCAAGTAAGTTTGTAGAAATTGTGTTTAGAACAGTTATTTAAAGCACTGAGATAAGAAATGAACTGCTTACTTGGGAATCACTGAGCTTGTCATTAATCAGTACTTTAGGATTTTTGGTTGTCATAGCAACATGATACAATTTTCATTAACACAAACCTAGCATTTCTAAACATAGCTTATTTTAACGTTCAGGCTCAGCGATCACTAAAATTGAGCTTTATTATAGCATCATGGTTAAAAGTGCAATCAAGTGTACCACAAGAGAAAAGGCATTAATGATTTAAAGCTGAAAAACTGAAGAAAAGATGACAAGATATTTAAAATACGATTATAATTTTATTGCTCTTTACCACAATACAAGTATCAAAAATGGCATAATAGGTGAAGCCAGTTTTATAGCCCATGTCAGATTTCTGTCTCTTAAAAGTAAAATTTAAGCATATTTTATGAGACCAGGGAATACAGCTCACATCAGCATTATTACATATTCTATACGTGAAACACCTCTGAGTTTTCTTTAAAAGCTCAGTATCATCATATTTAGAAAGATACAATATAGGCTATTGTTGAAGAGAATAGGCTCAGGAATAAGTAACAATAGATTCAAATCTTGGTTCTGCTTCTTGCAAACTACTGTACCCTGATTCATTTGTTTAACTTTTCTAAGCAATGTTTTCTGAAAATGGAAATCCTACTTTACAGGCTCATTGAGCTGGGTAATCCATTAAATCCCCTGAAGATTTCAGATTAGAGTAAGGAGGCTAAAGCAGACAGGTGGATAAACTAGGGTACAAACAGAGAACAGCTTTGGTACTAATCCGACAACCCAGGCACAGATGATACTACCACGGGCCAGATTACACCTGCAGAGATGCTGAAAAAATGATCAGTGGCTCCTTTCACATACCTTTGGCTAAGTAATAAAATGGGAATTCTGACTACAGTTCTGGTGAATTTATAGATCAATCTTAAACTACCAGTAAATTTTGCATCTATGCACTGAATATGCTTTATTTATTCATATCCTCTTTCAAATTTTTCAACAAAATTTTAGTTTCTTCATATAATCTTCCAGATACATTACTGTGTTTATATGTAGAAAACAATACAATGGCAATAAGGGCTTTTATTTTTCATTATATGTTGTAACTAAATATAGCTGGTACAGAGCAAATGTAATAATTTTGGTATGTTGATTTTCAATCTGGCCAAGTAACAAGTTTATTTTAGAATTATCTCATTTTATTTTTCATTACAAACATCTAAAGTTAATGTGTTGAGAGCACATTGGCCAAGCAATGGCCGTGACTCATCCACATGGCTGCACTGACAAAGGTTCTACAATCTGAGGTACAGGATCTCAGGACAAATCCTGAGGGCATTTCACTGACCTTTTCAGACCAAAAAGCTACAACTCTTGTTGCATAGATCCTGCTTTCCTTGGTCTTAACCATCCAGTAGAAAAGTATGAAGACGAAATATAAGAAATAAAGCCATGCTGTTAAGTTGAGCTGTGGGGGACTCAGGTCAATAATTTCTGACATTGCCAGTTAAACAGAAGACCCAATGCTATTACGGGCTACTGGACTCTTTTAGAATATTTTGCTGAGTTTACACACCTATAATATTCAATAACGGAACTTAGAAAAAATGGGGTATACCTATGAATGTCCATTTTGTATCTGTGTATTCAAAGTGGTTGGGATAGATATATAGTTGCATTCTCTTAATGAATAGAATGACTTGTTCTAATGGTGTTTGTAAATAGGATCACAAGTCCACATCTTGTACAGAAATTAACCACTAAGAAGAATATATGCAGTGTATTATTTGTTGAAACTGTACTTCCGATTTGATTTGAAACTGTCTCATTGCTATCTGTTTATCAATAAAACTTTGGAAAAAACAATAAAAAAAATAAAGTTAATGTGTTAATTCTTTTCAATAGTTATGACTAACCTCATTCTATTTACTAGAAATTCAAGCTAAACAGTAGATGTGACAGTTAAGTCTACAAGCCTTATTTAGAACTTTAATAAAATGTTTCTAAGGTTAAATCATTAGCTGCGATATCTGTTTTACATTTTCAGTATTCCAACATGGTTACATGGTATTCTGTAAATGAATTATGCAGTGAATTAAAGTAAGGCTTCTCTTATGACCTTTCGCCGTAATACAGTATTCTTAATGCAATGGCATGTTCGATTTATATTTATTAAGGACATCTTATATCTTTAACACATATATAGGATTTTAATGTAACTTTCATCAGTACCAAATATTACCTTTTGATATTTTAGTAATATTCACCTTGAGTTCAACTTTGTTAATAAAGCCACTTCTGCTTTTTTCCTGAGTTGTTGATTTAAATAGTCTCTTCTAGAAAGAGCTGTTCAGTTCTTTCACAATCTTGTCTTTTTAATCAACTACTGAGAGAGAAGTTGAAATATGTATGATCGTTGATGTAAGTATTTCCTCTCAAGTCTATGAGATTAAAGTTTATGATACATGAGGCTTTGCTTTTACTATGTATTCTTCACAAATTGATCCTTCAATTTTTGTGAAGTGTTTCTCCTTACCTGTGTTATTATTACCTCCTTGCAAATAAATTTTCCTCTATTAATGAAGCTGTACCAGCTTTGGTATGATTACCGCTTATATGGCACATTTTTAATAATCTGTTTAAACTATCTGTGTCTTTGTATTTGAATTGAGTTTCTTATAGGCAACAGTCAGTTGGGTCATACTATTTTTATTCAATCTAATGATGTCTGGCTTTTAATTGGAGGATGGAATTCTTTGAAGTCTTGGTTTTCTGGAATCTCCAGAATTGTCCAAATTTTACTTGTGTTTCAGCTTAATTTCTCCTTGGTAATTATAGAAGAAAATATTTCAATTTTCTCTCATAACAAAAAAGAAAATAGTTCTTTCATAGGTACATGCGTAATGTCTAGTATAAACAGAGAGTCTTGAAGAAGAGTTTGTAAATTATACTTATTTTCCCATACCTTTAGGAAGTATCTATATTCTTTTTATTTATCAAGTTACTTACAGAAATCATTCTGACTCAATAAGCAAAGACATAATGAAAATAGTTGCTATCTGCATAATTATGATTTCTGGTTTACTAATTCAATTTTATACCATTATAAGGTGAACATAGAGTTTGGCATTAAACAGTAACAATACTTTCTAATTCTTTACCTCTCAAAATTATTTAGGACCATTTTCTGTTTCAATTCTCTTCTCCAGCCCCATTTATTATACAATCTTAACTTCTTGGCTATGAAAATTTATTTGAAAGTTTATTCCAAGGCTGAGGTGGCTTAATCAAAATCTCCTTTGAAAGCCAGTTAAATTATAAGAAAAAGAGAAATAAGAGCAATAGGTTTTCCAAAATAGTATTACTGTGGACATAACTAATATTGAGAACAGAGTATTAACAAAAAAGACAGTTTATAATCACTTACTAATTATAGAGACTTTAGAGGAATATACATGTAAGGGAGAGGTCTGAACAAGGTTGGGTCAGATACCTCGGGATGCTGAGTCAAGAGCAAAGAATGAAAGGTAAATCATTTAGTCTTGACAATAACTTCATTTCAAATAAAGTTCCTGATATTTAAAACATATGAATCGTTACTAAATACTTAAAACCAAAATCACTTACTTCACTGTGGCACTTAGAAGAAAGTTCAGCTGTGGCATTAATAGGTTGTCTGGAGCTGACAGGTAACGATCAAACTGAACCTAAGGAAGAAGAGTGTAAAATACATCTACTAACAAACATTTTAACTACAGTCACATCTTTCAGTAATTAAATCTTGGGGAAAAATTCTATGTGCCAAATAATTAGTTCTTATTCAGACGAGCTCAGGCTCATTCTGGGTGGTACAGCCACAGATAAGTCTTTTTATTAAAATGAGTATTTATTAAACATTCTAACTAAAATACCCTAAAACTGTTAACTTTTAACATAGTGAATCTTATTATTATCTTTCGTAATTCCAAATCCAAGCTACTCAGTTTAATCTCTTTGGCATTTAGTATAGTTTTAAATCTATTAATTTGTTCATGATTCTATTCAGTCAACTAATATTTCTGGAGTAATTACGATTAGAAATTACCATGTTAGGTCACAGGATTATAATGGTGAGAACCAGGGCAATTCTTAGCTTCACAGTATGAGAACTATTAAACAGCTGATAATGTAAATAACTACATAATTATAAACTGTGCTAAATGCTAGAATGGAAAAAAAAAACCCAAGGTACTATCAAGTGTCCATCAGGGGCCTAGCCTCTCTGAGGAAAGGATGTTTGCCCTAAAGGCTGTATGCACAAAAGCTTGAGGCAGGAAGAAAAATGGCTAGATGTGCAGAGATTAAGGCACTTGTATGCTTTTCAAAGGACTTTCTTAGAGTAAATGCATTAGCAAACCCAATGAAATTAAGTAAGTGCATAATTTGTTTTCAGTTTTATAAAGCTAAATGCAGCCACAGCAAGGAGAAGGGGATGAAAGGCTGTAACGGCTGCTGCAAGGCCGCTGAGTATGTAGCTGCTGTGCCATTTCTGGTAAGAGCAGCCAGAGTGCGGAGAAGGCAAGTATTTGTGAAGGCCCGTATAAAATATGAGGGCTTGGTTTCTGTCGGGATAAAGGGGTTGACTCTCAAGATTTTAGATCAGCATAAATGAATCTTTACCTAAATAATAGCATCAATCACATACAAAATTCAACCAAAACTTTTCTTTGGAGATATAATATAGTCAATTTAATTGGTTTCAAAATTAAGACTAGGCACATGAAAATTTCTAAAGGGGTTTAAAAATATTTTGTAAGCTATACTATAGACTGATTAGGTGTTGGAAGGAAGGAAAGACAGAAGGAGAAATGTACACTTACTACATATAAGTAACGTCACTAGTCTACATAAACGTGTCTTCACTTTGTGGGGACGAAATATTTTGACATAAAATTATTGGATAGTGTGCTGAGTTTACACTAACTTCTTAAAAAATATATCTTTTTTTTTTTTTTTTGTACCAGGGATCAAATTTAGAACCATGTGCTTGCCAAGCAGGTGCTTACGCTGCTGAGATATCTCCTTGGCCCTAAACAATATATAATCTTTGGGAGAATCTAGTATTTTTTATTTGAACTTTATAATGTACTTTCTCTGTACTTCTATAATTTTGTTTGACATATGAAAGTTATGATTGTTACTTCTACACATAGTGTCTTTTATTATGATGATGATCTTTATCCTATGCAGTCCCCTAATTCTATGCTAATATTAACAGTCAACTCTGCCCCCTTATTTTCATTGTTAGGTAACTGGTAAGCCTAGCCCTTTATTCTCAGTTGTTTCTTGTTATAGAACATGGTATTTTTAGTTCTGGAATGCCTGGGCATCAAAAAAAACCCCAGGATTCTTTATGAAAGTCAAACTTCTCTAACAAATTTATGTGACTATAGGTACTAGGTAGAAGGTAGGCAGAAGAGTACCGTCATTATAAGCCCACAGGTTTAGAAGTAGGCCTCTAAGACTGAATGTGACTGCCACAAAGATTAAAACATTAAAGCATGAAAAACATTTGGCAGTAAAGGGTAACAGCTACTGCTGGTGCTCACTGCTGTTATTATTACTATTACTTAGTAGTAATGGCTATTGTTGGTGTTCATTGAGCTATGTTCATCTACTATTATTACTATCATCATTTAGTAGTACTAGACTAAATTAAACATTTTTCAAATGGGATTTTTTGCATTTGGGGATATGGCTACATGACTTAAATGTTATATACAATGGAAGGATATACATATAGCAAAGTATATCCTTAAAAAAGAAATCACTGAAAGAAAATGGTGTCCATGTATAAAGGAAGGGTTGAGCCCTTCAGCTAAGAAGAAAGTAACACATGGATCATGGATCTCACACTCAAGAACAGCGACTGTCTTGAATATGATTTCAGTCACTATCTCAGGAAGTCATTAGGATCAATAAATTAGGGATCCCAGAAGTAGCATGATATCCAGACTGCCATTTTCTACATGTGTCACGTCTGTTTCTCCATTAGATCAGTAATAAAACTTAAAAACAAATCCTAAACAGTAACAACTAACAGCATATGGTGAAATACTACTGTAAACAGTTAAGTCTTAGGCCTGTTCAGGAATACATACTAAATTATTACTGGACTCAAAGTGAACGTATTATATCAGGAATAAATCATCCACAACAAAAAGATCAAATAATACAAAATTAAGAATATTGTTTGATACAGAAATGTAAGTTGAAATGCTGTATAAAATTGTACTTACCATTGCAGCTTTCAGTGCCACAGAGTCTAAGTTGGGCAAATTAGCTAAACAGCCCTATTCAAAAAAATAATAATAATAAGTGAAGACACTGGGGATATACATTTTAGTTACTTATGTCATATAGCCTGTGGAAGACTGCTCAAATTTGGAAAATCACTGAACCATTTCCAAGAACTCAAGTGTCACTTCTTCAGCTTCAGGGAGAGCAGGGACTACGATTCTGAGGAAGTAAGGAGCTTTTAGGCTTATCAGTGATGGAAATATGATACTGCAGATTTACTCATATATAAGGAAAAAATCACAAGGAAGCTCTTGGCACAGATTTAGAGGCAGAAGACTTTCAGAGAATCTTATAGAAAGGCAGAAGAACTGGTTGCCACTGGTTTAAATTTGCTTACTATTTTAGCAAAAATGATTCCTGAGATTTTCATTTAAGAGTTTTGGGGTTAAAATATACTTATCATGCTAATGTCCTCTTTGCTTTTTAAATAAATTTGGCTTATTCCATGATTTAGAGTCCATTATCTTATTTCTACTGGGGTTCTGTAATTTAACAAGCTCCTGTGTTGGCCTCAAGAACTGATTACTTTTGTCTTAATGATTTGCTAAATTAAAAAAAGGGTAACTGCTACTTATACAGTAATTTATACATTCAGTTATCTGACAACAAACAGAAGACTGAAAAACTCACCCGTATGATACCCTTTATGCATTTACAATACTAATTTCTATATATTTTCATTACTTTAACCAAAACTACTTTTAGTTGAAAGAATAGTATTTTGGGAGACTCTTGGGCAGTCATCTAAGAGCAGTACAATGTATTATTTCACTTAAAGTTGAGAACAATCTTTTAACACAGATACTATTATTACTTTCAACCTGCAGAAGAGCAAATGAACACAGAAAAACAAGTCACTTTCCCAGAAACATATGGCTAATAGCAACAGAGCCAAAATCCAAATTCAGACTCCAGCTCTAGAAATCATACTCAAAATTGGCCAACTGCTCAAATTAGGAACCTCTATCCTTACCTGTTCAGGCTTATGTTGCTGCACAGTGTTGTAGATATAACTCAAGCCGACTCTGGTTAAAACGTAAGAGGCTTGCTCATTTATAAGTGTGTCCAAATGTGCTTCAATCTAAAATAAAACATAGCACAAAAAAATTCTAAAAGAGGAGTATGACTGATATAACACACTATTCTAGAGGTGGAGCGCATCATAATGGGCTTTTCCTTAGAGTGGCAAGATCTTTGAACTGAAGTGGCTCTGTGAAATCTAAGGTGGAAATGATGGGAAAAGAGACACATCTACTTAGAGAAGGCATAGGATGCTTTTCCATAACAGAAGATTTTTCTTTCTCTTAAGAAGTCCTTCGAAAAGGAAAAGAAAGCCTTTGTGTTAGTTGATACATTGTGTCAACTTGGCTGAATCAGCTCTGGCAGCATGGGGGCCTCGCCCTTCAGGTGGGCAGGGCCCAGGAATTGAGAAAGGCAGGAAGCCGCCATGCCTGATTTCCTGCTGTCCCACCCTGCTTCTGTGGAGAAGTCTCAATCTTCCAAGGTTGGAGGAGCTCTGATCTTCACTGTGGAGCACAGTCAGCGCAGAGGGAAGAGAGGCTTGATGGACGCTGCCGCAGCTGCTGCTCCTCCTCTGTTCTTCATTGTTCTCTGCTGCGTGAACTGCTGTTTGCCTTGGAGCCAGCAGAATATGGACTGAACCCTCCAGTAACTGTGAGCTAAATAAATCTTTCCTTCCTTCATTTTGAGTGTCAGGTATTTGTCCCAGCAAGGAGTAAAAAGTAACTAAGACAGCCTTAATAAGAAAACAAACAAACAAAGAAGATTCCAGGAATAATCATTAGCCATAAAATATTGTTTCTCAGCTCTTTTAAGAAAACTGATAATCAACAGAACACAAACAAAAAACACCAGTTACAATGATGTAACAGAATACTCAAGCAGATGAGGCCTGACCCCTGGCCTCCTACCTCTACAAAGTGCTGGACTGACTCAACAAACCAAGCCAAACAACTGGAGAAGCTGAGGGAAACTGCACTGTAGCTGAGGCAGTAAATTTTCCTGAAGATACAGTAGTCAAGAGAACTGAGTCTCCAGAAAAATCCTGGTCAAAAGATTTCAGGTTCAGGACTGGCCTGAGAAGATGCAGCTACCAGAAGTGAGATGCATGTGCTCCCCAGCTTTGTCTATCTTCAGCAAAGGCTCCTATCTAATGGGGGGAGAAAGCAATGATATAGACTATCTTGACTTATTAAAGCATCTCCCAGTGGGAAGAATACTGCTCCTTCCTTGTTTTGCCACAAAAGCCTGAAAGGCTGGAGGTTTTCCTTCCATTCCTCATCAGAAAGTTCCCTTAGCTTTTTAAAAAAATGTACAGGGACTACAAGGTCTCACTACACAGAACAGCTTGTACTGATCCTCCTGTTTTCTGCCTCTCAAGTGCAAGGATTAGGGCTGGGGAGATAGCGCAGTAGAATAAGTGCTTGCCAAGCAAGCACAGGGTCATTGAGTTCAATCCCTGGTACCACAAAAAAAAAAAAAAAAAAAAAAAAAAATCAAGTGCTGGGATTACAGGTGTGTACCACCACGCCCAGTCTTCTCTTAGGTTTTAAAGGTTTGCCAATGTCATAAACCGTTGCTCCTGATAGTTCACGTCACCATCTGAATGTCTGCCTCATTCAAGTAACTCCAATAGCTGCATTCTTCCCCCTAAATAAGTGACCAAGAAAGTAAATTGCAGCCCTTATTTACTGGACTTGCTAGAAATCAAAGAAGAACAGATGTATAAATATAAACAATAAGAGAAAGGATAATTATCACTAAGAACCAACTTAGGGGTCTGAAAGAAAAATGGAAGAAAATATGGAAAAAATACCAAAGACATACATCAAAGGGAAGAGTGTTTTTTTTTCTTTCTCTTTTAAGTGGTACCAGGGACTGAACTCAGGACCTTCCACTTTCCAGGCAGGTGCTGTATCACTGGCCCAAGAATCTAAGTCCTCTTTTAAAGAGGTCAAGTAAGATAATATAAACCAGGAGCATCAAAAATATATAAAAAATGACACATGGAGAAATGATGATTAAAGAAAAAGTGAAAATCATTGAACAAAAGAAAGGTTTCTATCTCCAAACTGAAATGGCTCTGTGACGCCTCAGAAAAACAATGAGAGAAGAGATATAACTAAAATATGCTGGGGAAATACCTGTACTCAAAGAAATATTCATGAGCTTCCAGATGGACAGACTCCTTAACTACAAGCAAAGGATAATTATACTAACCTGGTTTTCTACTTGAAATACTGGGATAAGGTAAGAGGGGAAGAATGTTTCTATCAGATGACTGACAGAAAACAGGGAACTCCAATAAGCCATACCTTTCAATGAAAAGACCTTACTTGGCCCTTTCAATAGTGAACCTACGAAAATCCATGCAGCCCATGTCATGTTACCATGTTCAGTGCAAGTGCAGGGACCAGTCCCCTGGAAATGGCCACTGAGGGGGTCTAGCAGGGCTCAAGGGCAGAGAGAAAACGTCCACTGGAAACTGGAGAAAGAATCATTTGCTGGCAGAACAATTACCAGCAATGCCATTAGAGGAATAAAGACCTGCCCAGAGAGAGCTGATGTACATGTGGCTAGCCCAAGTGATATAGTCAGCTGGGGCCCAGGGATGCCCAAAGACATACACCAGAATAAGCAGACTCAGCACAAGGTGAAGCTGCTGAACACAGAACACTTGAGATACCTGAATATCTTATGAAAACATTTAGATAAATGTTAGACATTAAAAAAAAGTCAGACATTAAATTATTGACAAGTACAAAATTTTAAAAAATTTTTAAGTGTCAAAAATTCCATAGAAAACAAAGTTATTTAAGAAAGAAACTAATACATTTTCATTATATTGTTCAACTATCAATATGATTTACATAGCAAAAATAATTTATATAACATTGCACAACTATATGACTGGAAAGATGAAAAGGCTCTAAATATAGTCATTTCGTGTGTGTGTGTGTGTGTGTGTGTGTGTGTGTGTGTGTGTATGTTTGTGTGTGTATGTATGTAAAAGTGGAGAACTATGTTTTTAATGTCTATAGTGCAAGCTTAATACATTAAGTCCAAATAAAAAAACTGGAAAAAATCTGTATGTAGCAATACACATAAACATTTAGAGTTATGAACACCAAAGAAGCATAAGGACTGAAGGAGCTGGGCACGGAGCTGCACGCCTGTAACTGAACACTGCACACCCCAGAGACAAGCAGAGAGCTTAAGCCAGGGGCAACACGGGATTCAAGCAGTTCATGAACTGCAAGGGAGACCAGGTCTCAACCAACCAAAGCGAAACAACTGAAGGAGCAATGAGGGGAAGATGTTAAGATGGAAATGATGGTACACTTTGCCTTTACATAACAAACCCTGGTATTTATTACATGACTCTAAGTTATGGATGATGATAACTGTGAGGCATTTCTTTTAAAAGGAACAATTAGAAAATATCACAAATTGAGATGTGTCAAGATTAACTTTGGCCAGTCAGATAGATCAGCAGACTAAAGCACTTGCTTAGGCAGATTGCAGGGGCCGGGGTTTAATCCCCAGTGTGCTGTGCTGGCCCTACCCACAGGGTGCGCTGAGACTGTGATCGAGACTAGGCGTGGTAGTGTGCGCCTGTAATCCCAGCGCTTGGGAAGCTGAAAATGGGAGAATCACTACGAGTCCAATCTATGTAGTGAGACCCTGTAGACCCTTCAGACCCTGAACCAAATACAAAGAAAAAAAAAGATTAACTTCTCAAAAACCTCTTAACCTAACAAATGAATTCTTAATATAATAGATCACTGGTTTTTTTGAACGCTGTATCTACCACTGTCACTCTAAAATTGGGACCTCAGTATCCAGTAGCTTTTACAAATGTCTTCATTTTAGCCATCATGCATACTCTTAAGCAATATATCTAGCTTATAAGAATAGTGGTAGAGCAAACAGTAATGTTTTGCCTAACATACTTTACACATAGATAAAAATATATCTGTCCTCTGTAACACATTCTGCAGTAGCTACACAGCTTGAAAAATACAGCACAGTATTCACAGCTCAGAATTTTGTATCTACATGCAGTACTGAGTAGCTATTCAAATCAAAAAAGCTTCATGTCACCACTCTACAGTATGTTTTGAACAAGCATCTTAACCAGTTCACATTCCAGCTTCACCAAAGCTGAAAAACAAAACACTGAATGTGTGTGCATGTGTGTTTAACCTTTCATCAGACCATATCAAAGGATTTATAGGAATTAGGTCACTGAAACTAGCCAAAGTCAGTAACTTAAAGCTATCACATAAAGGCAAAAAATATTCCACAACAGCAAATAAGAGACATTTTATGCCCAAAATTTACCTGAAATTGTAGCATTTCTAGACGTCTGTCAGTGAACTCAAATAAAGCTAATGTTGTTTTCATCATATACAATGAATTAACCATGAAAGTAGCCATGTCAGCTGTGCCCAAATTGCTGGCCGACACTGTGCACATCTGGAGGAGCGGGTCCAGGACACACGACAAAACCTATCAAGGAAAAGAAGAGTAATTCCTCACTTCCTAATGAGTGACTAGGTCCTGCATTAATAGTACTGAAGATTGAACGCCATGCTCAGGGGAGAGCAGTCAACATTCAGACACATCTAAGAAAAGATTAAATGATGTTAATAACTACATAATTCTAAAAACCAGCATCAATGAATTGATACCTTTTTTTAAAAAAAACTAACTGGATTAATACTGAAGGAGTATCAGTAACTAAGGAAAATGTTGGTCAAAATACCTGGGCCGCACAGGCCAGTTTAGGACAGAACGTACAATGGAGGAGCACAGAGCAAGCACATGGAATCACAAACCACCTGCACAAAGTCGGCCTGCCGAGCATCTAACGGAACAACTGAAGAATCATGCGAGGCCAGAACTTCACGCAGCAACGTAAGCGTCTGATTCAGGGCAGAACTTGGTCCAAGATCAGGTGGTGGGAGTTCCACCTAAAAAAAAAGAATGGTTTAGCCACTGTTTATATTTTTCCACTAAATTTTAAAGGGTAAATCTGAGTTCATGGTAAAATAATATACACAAAAAACACCAGGTAATACATTAACAATCTGTAAATTATTCATCACTTGTTCTGAAGTCTACAAATCAGCACAGAAAGTGACACGAGTTTCTTTTTCATATTACCTCAGAAGTAATGAGGCTTTGTACTCTACGGAACAAAAATTTATGAGAAAGAAGCAATTCCTAGATAATGCTATCCAAGCTCCCATCTACAATATAGCTGAGAAATATCACCGACTATAAGGCTAACTCTTATAGCTCATTATGTCTATATCAGAGCTTCAGAAACTGACTTTTTTTTACCTTTTCAAAATGTAACTGTTTTCTGTTGTCCATCCTTCCTTTTATCAGTTTGTTTTATTGCTGTACTTCATATGTCTACATCTGAATGCCAAACATGTTTTATCTCTAGTCTTGAGTCCCAACTGTGTAACAATAGTTGCGACTTTGGGTCGCATGCTGATCCCCGTGCTTTTTCACATATTGCAATCTGTCTGCCATTTCTACCACACTGCTGAGGTATTCAGCAAAGCCATCAATATTCCCCAGAGTGTATGTCATGCAGCTCTACTCCCATAAAAAAAAAAGTGATCCCCAGTGACCCAATTTAAGCGCATGGATTAAAATAGCTTCTGTATGGAAAACTCTAAATCTACACGAACAGTTCCCACTTCCAGAGGGACAGTCCTCAAGCTCAACTTATATAGCTAAGACGCTGTCACCATCTTTACCCCTTCCCAGTATTCTAGACAGTTGTGAGACACCGAGCAATTCTAGACTCTGCTTCATCCTTATTCATATTCAACGAATCAGCAAGTTTCAAAGATTTTGCCACTACCTTTCCAGAAACTGTCCCTTTGTGGCTATTTCCAGTCTTTCTCTTAGATAATATACTTGCCTAAAAATGACTATATTAATCCTCTTAATATCCTTGTCTTCAACATAGACTACCTCCTATCCATATGATAAAACACCTTTCAAGCGATTCTTTCAATACATTTTAAAAATCTGTTTATTAATGACTTACAGCATGCATGCTGGCATTTTCTTTTTTGCTTCTTTGACTTAAGATGGGCTCTATTCACCTCCTTCAACTACCTAACTCTTTAAAGCTCTTTGAAGTTCAACTCTGTACCTGCCTTTCAGGAGAGCTCCCACCCTGAAAAGGAACATATGCATGTTGCTATACACACCCTTCCTTTTCTGCAAACATAGAACTTTCCCTTTCATAAAACACAGAACTGACTAGCAATGACTGATTCACCTCATCATTTTTCACTGAAGGAGCAGCAACCTGAAGCCAACAGATCTTGTTGTTCGCCCTTGCTACACCTCAAGTAGCATGTATTTTCATGTTCAATGTTTGCATCACTACTAATTATTTCAAAAGATGCAGGGTCAGCGAGATAGCTCAGTGGAGTCAACACATGCTTTGGCAAGCACAGGGACCTGGGTTCGACCCCTGTCCCGCATGTCACACTGGGTCTGAGCTACACAGAGAGACCCTGTATGAAATACATAAAGTGAAGAAAAAGAAAAAAAAAAAGATGCCTGTCTACACAAGAACTTATACAAGCAACCAAAATTAACTACTATTAAAAATATGAGAACAATGTAATTAGATATTCCTGCTCCACACATTTTATTGTTCATTTTCTGAAATAAATTTGTTTCATACGTGAGAGTTAGAAAGTAATTCCCATTAAGACTTCTTTGAGCTTAGAAAAATGACAATCTTCTCAATGGGATTTCTGATCATTCTATATGCCAGTACACTAGGCTATCTTATAAAATCTGTGCCTGTATGACAAGCCTATTACACAGAGAAGTACAACCAAAAAGCCAACATGTTAAGAATGATGCATTCTTGAACAATTTGAGTCCTTAATAATGAAACAAAATTTTAAAAGATTATAAACCTATTCCTCATGTCCTACCACAATACTCTATTCATTTTAAAACATCAGACCTTACAGGGCTCTTGTAAATTTTTGTTTACTTCTGTGGGTTGTTTTATATCTTCTGTTTTCAAATAACTATAGTATAGAACTCAGAAAATTTCATAAGGAAAAAGCTGAAAAATCAGAGAGTAAAAATATAATCTGTGTGCAAAGAAAAATAATGCAGGCGTTCCTCTTTTCCAATTTGTATGTCATGTAACTGCTACCTATGTATACTAAGATTGTTTTTGTTACAGAAAAAAACAGTAGTGAAATTAGGGATTGACATCTGTCTTCAATTATGACTCAATGTTATACTATCCAGGAAGACAGACAATAAACATGGGTCAGGAAACCCTCTCATTAGGACAAAATTTTTCATCCATCTGAAGAACTCAGAAGAACATTGTAGGGCCGTCCAGATAGCTCAACAGATTAAAGCACCTGCTTAGGCAGAAGTAGGGACTGGGGTTCGATCCCCAGCGTGGCATGCCATCCCTGCCCCCAGGGCATGCTGAGATGGTAAATGAGACTGGGTGTGGTGGTTCACACCTGTAATCCCAGGGTTTGGGAAGCTGAAAACAGGAGGATCACTAGGAGTCCAATCTGTGCAGTGAGACCCTGCAGACGCTGTACTAAATACACACACACAAAAAAAGAACATTGCATACAATGGTGAAGAAAAGCAACATAATACCATTAAAACAATACCTTTCAGAGTGAACAATTCACAAATCACAAAATGTAAGAACTATATTTTTTAAACATACCTTGTCCATTAATTTACTTGCATGAAGACTCAAACTATTGAAAAATATTTTTTTGCTTAGCAAATGCATTTCCTCAATGGTGGTTAATAAAGTAGTTGCACTATTTCCAACAATGCCACTGAAAGCAAAGAATATCTCAGGTTGCAAAACAAGCTACAATAATTTTTTTGGGGAAAAATGTTTAAAATATCTAGATCTATATTAACATTTTTAGAAGTATAATAAAATTTGGTATTTTTTAAAAAAAAAAAAATAATTTTTTTGGGGAAAAATGTTTAAAATATCTAGATCTATATTAACATTTTTAGAAGTATAATAAAATTTGGTAATTTTAAAAATTATTGTATTTGTTAAACAATTACTCTAAAAGTACTCTATAATAATTGCAAACAATTACTCTAACTGTAATTGCAATATAGTTATAAAAGTAATATACTATTATTCTATTAATTATATAATTAGTATTGTTTAATACTATATATAATTATATAATTTTTATTGATCATATACTAATGTTAATATAAATAATTATTGTGATTATAAACAATTATTCTGTTGTAACTGTACTATAATTGTTTTATATGAAGATCATACAAAATACCAGATTTTAAGTATCAAAATTAAGAATAAAATCAACTGAAGGTTAAGCATCCTTATTTGAAAATACAGTAAAAAATGTTCCAAAACCTGAAACTTTTTGAGTTACATTGAAGCGTTCAAAAAGTTTCAAACTTCGGGGCACTTTACATTTTATATTCAAATTATGGATGATCAACTGGTAAAGTCTGCATAAATATTTCTAACTCCAAAAATCACTGAAATCTAAAACAGTTCTGACCCAAAATATCTTAACTAAGGGCACTCAGCCTGTACAATGATTTTAGTATTTCATAATCTCTTTTAGCAAAAAATGCAGTTATCAACAAAATTTGCATTGTGTGAACCAGTATCTCCATTTTTCTTCTACTATAATAAACATGTGCCTTGACTATCCAAGAAGGTATAATTTTAACTTTAAGAAATGCATTCCATCAACAGCTCTACTATAAAAACTCAAGTTGGTTACATCATTATAATTAAAGCCATTATGGCATATCATTGACACAGCTATAGCTTCTCAAGTTTATGCAGCTGCTTAAATAACAGTATATTTAAACTAATTATTTAAAAACCTGTCCAAAGAGGTCTTTCATTTTTGCCACAATCTAATTATGCATACAAAACAATTGCCCATTTGATTTTTCTCAGTTTATATATCAGAAGTACTTTTAAAATTTGTTTAAGAAAAAAGCTTTTGGGGGCTGGTCTGACAGTGCAGCAGACTAAAGTGGCTGCTTAGGCAGAGCATGGTGGCCAGGGTTCAATCCCCTGTGTGCCATGCCAGCCCTGCCCCTGGGGTATGCTGAGGTGGCGACTGAGATTAGGCGTGGTGGCATGTGTCTGCAATCCCAGCACTTGGGAAGCTGAAAACAAGAGACTCACTATGAGTCCGATCTATGTAGTGAGACCCTGTAGCTCCTGTCCTAAATACACAGAGAGAGAGAAAAAAAAAACTTTTTGTGGACATGAAAATATATTGTAATCCAGGAGATAATAATTTCTAAAGGCATAGTAACATATTATACCTAAAATAATTTATACAGCCAAAGATAAATATGATGACACAGAATATACTAGTAAATACTAAACCAAAGTCATGGAAATTTAACGATACATTGTATGTTACACTGACATGAGTGAAAATGCAGTATATTTTACTACATTCTGAAATTAAAATTGGTTATATTCTTGTGCAGGTCATGTAAACAAAGCAAACTATCAGTACAAAGTATAAAACTAATTGTAAAATACAAGCAAATTACTTGTAGAGAGAATACTTGTATTTTTTTTTTTAAAAAAGGATTTCAGTTAAAAAACATATGCTAAATACGAAGTAAACTGGAACAAATTCCCATATATGCCTGTTAGTTTGTGTCTAGTTGTCACCCCAAAGCCTTATGCAGTCACTGGGGCAACATCTAGAGTCTGTGATTAACTCATGATCCAGTGCTGGGATTATGGGTGCGAGTGCTACAGCCGCCCTGGCCCGATAGCCTGAATACAACTAAGGAAGGGGGAGGGGCTTGCTAGCTGCTGCAGCTGCTGTTCCTCCCTCTGCTCTCCGCAGTTTTTCCACTCTTGTGAACTGTGGCTTTTTGCCATGTGTCACTCTGCCTTGGAGCCAGCCAAATTTGGACTGAAACCTCCATAAACTGCGAGCTAAATAAACTTTTCCTTCCTTAAGTTTGGGTGTTTGGTATTTTGTCCCAGCAACAAGAGAATAGTAACGGAGACAGTTCTACACATGCAATATTTTGAAAGGATAGTTATATTGACAGGTATTCTTTTGTTTGGTTGGTTTGGTTTGTTTTTTTTGTGGAACCAGGGATTGATTACAGGTATTTTTTAAAAGTTGGAGTAATTAGCTGCTTTCACTTAATCTAAATTTACTATCTTTTCAATATTCATTAGGAACCAGTAAGTGGTCCAGATACTTGTAGACACTTCTTCTGATGTTTCACTCCATTTTTCTGCCCAATGTTTACTCTCCTACTGTTTGTTCACTTGTAAGTATTAGGTACAAGTCCCCTAATGGGGAAATCCAGTTTCCCACTGCCACAACCCAAACTTCACCCTCCCAGGCTTTGTCTACAGTTATGATTATACAGCACAGGTAGACATTTAATTGAGAAGCATGTAAGTGCTATTCGGTGATGGTAAGAGTCTGGGATAAGGCAGGACTGAGCAGGCTGGTGAAGAAGAGGAATCCCAGGTGAGAGCCACACAGCACGGAGAGCACCCCATTAACACTGGAACAAACGAGTGCGTAAGCAGGGCTGTCAAGAGGGAAGCGGCCACCTGATGTCTGGCTACACTGCTAGGTCACCTTAGGTCCACTTCACTGGACCTGAAATAGTGATGGAGCAGAGGAAATGCAAGCGGCTATGAAACAAAGTAATTATTAGCTCCAGGGATACAGTTTTATAGGAAAAGATACGAAACCAAGTACATGCACTAGAGTTCTTGTTTCCTGTATTCCACGTCTCTCTTGTTAGGAGTTTTAATGTACACGAATAAATGCATTAGACGTTGTAAGTCTCCTGATCTCTCCCTTTACTTCACTGGCTCTCTCTCTCCAGGCTTCTTCATTCGTTTCTCCCCTTCCGGACCCTATAAATGTGGGTGCCCCAGGACTCAGGTCTAGGCTCTGGTTTGTACTAAATGATTAAATCATTTATATCTAGAATAAAGTACACCCCATTCTAAATGTAGTTAACTGCTCCGCTTGCCGCATATTTCACTTACTACGTAATAAATGCTTATGTCGTAAGCCTATGTTATTATATAAGTTGTAGATACGTCTATGTGTGTGTGTGTGCATATGCAGAGACATGCTTATACAATTAGACCTGGAGAAAACACAAAGGGACATGACAGACCTCAAGATATAGAAGGCATAAAGCACACAGAATGTTTGAAATAGTGCAAGAGCTTCTGCCAATTCTAGTTAGTTATATGCAAAACGAAAACACTAAAAATCTTACAGTGCTGTCTTCTAAAATTCATAAGATTTAACAATTACCTTTCATTATTCTACTTACCTGATTGTATGGTGGTAAAATTTGAGGAGATTAGAAATTTTGTATAATAAAACTGCCCCAGGTTCAGCAAGTATTACTTGTTCAATTCGAACCTATTGAGACATAGGAGAAAAACAGCCTGGCTTCAAAATAGCTCAAGAAATTAATAAAGGTACCACTTATTTTTGTGGCAGTTACAAAATACCTTCTAAATAAAGAACTTATAAATATTAAGTAATGAGTGGTAAAATAAACATTTTAACACACATAAATTCTACAAAAATTGATTATCAGCAGGAATATGCTGCTTGGTGCCTAAATATTCAGAGGACAAATAAGAGATCTTGTCTTGCCATTGAAAACACACTAATACATGGTTACAGGTTGTTTGCTATGTGTGCTTAAAACTACTATGTATGTTGTATCTTTGTTTTTCTAACTAGCGTCTATTTATTTTTTGTATTTAGGACAGGGTGTACAGGGTCTCATCACATAGATCAGAATCGTAGTGATCCTCCTGTTTACAGCCTCCCAAGTGCTGCGATTACAGGTGCGCACCACCACGCCCAGTCTCAATCTCCGTCTCAGCATGCCCCAGGGGCAGGGCCAGCCACAGCAGGCCAGGGATCTTGCGGCCCCTGTGGCTGCCTCAGCAAGCACTTTAATCTACTGAACTATTTGGCTGGCCCTCTAACAAGCTTCTAAACACAAAGATATCTTCCAATTCTTTTACATCTATGCAGCATATGATAGAACAGATGATTAATAAAGTCTTGAAAGTTGAAGTTTCTCTGTACTTTGATTTCAGCAAATATTATGCCAGCAAATGTAATTTCCTAGAATGAGATCTCACAAACATGGATAACAGCATATAAAAATTTCCTGAATTATAGAAGTTAATTTATTTTTATATTAATACATTTATCAGATGGGTTCATCCTTCGGCAGAGGCAATAAACTAGCTATTTACCATAATACTACATGTCATGAATGACACCTGAATTATAAAATCCTAATTTCTCCTTGCGTGGGGGGTAGTACCGGGAACTGAACTCAGGACCTTGTCCTTGCTAGGCAAGCACTGTGCCAGTGAGCTATATCCCCAACAAAAATCCCAATTTCTGTATGTTAATTTTTTTTTAGAATAAAGCCTCAAAGATGATTTAAATTATTTATCAATAAAATTATGTTTTCCAAATTTTGACATAATTATTAGAGCAAAATAAAGGTTAATAATTGTAAATAGACAGCTTCTCCCTAGTAGACTGACGTATAACAGCATCTCAGCTGTCAGGCAACTTGCCTTTTAAATTACCTAGACATCAAAAAAATAATCATATTCCAACTCCCTTAAGAAAGTGAAAAAGGAAGACAAGGAAAAGAGAGGAAAAGAAAAGAAGAAAAAGAAAAAGGTAGAAATAGAGACAGAAAACATACCTGCTTCTCTCATACTACCTAGACTGAGTTTCAGAAAGCACTGCCTCTACAACAGAGAAGTGAGACCTTAAGATCAGCCTGCCTGATGCATTGAAAGAAAACGCTGCCCTGTGAGTTATGTGAGTCACCAAATGTGCAGCAAAAGCCAACCATCTCAGGGAAAAGCAACAGAAAAACAAAAACAGAAGACCAAAAATCACCGCAGAGGTGGTGGCGGCAGCGAACGACGAGCAGTTACGGTGGTGATGACGGTGGAGGACACAGTCACTAAAACGTGAAAGCAGATGTAAGATGCAGGAGAGCTCAGCACACCATCATCACTACCATTACCCAAGAAACTGCAACTATCATTAGAAAGACAGACGGGACACTGGCAGATATCTGAAGTGGACAGGCCTCAGGCAGAAAAGCTTGCAAATGGATGAACAGAACAGTGGCTCTCGAACGTGTGCGAGGGGGCAGCTAGCGCTTACACGCAGCCATGCCCCGGCCAGCAGGCTTGCAGCCTGGATGGAGTATAACGGGAAGGAGACGGAGGCTTGCTATTGCCTGCCAGCCGTGAACTGTTTCTTCTTCACCATCCTGCCCTGCCTTGGAGCTGACTATGGACTGAAATCCCTACAAACTGCGAGCTACACACACCTTTCTTCCTTTAATTGTGGGTTCTGGATATCTTGTCCCAGCAAGGAAAAAATAACTAAGACAGATTTTGGTACCATAAGTGGGATCGTTCCTGTGTCTGTTTCTGACAGTATGGTACGGAAGCCTACAGAAATGGTCTGCAGGAGGAGTGTGGAAAGGTCTGGAGATGATGGCAACACAAGCAGCCCTAGGATGTCTGAGCTGTGCCTGAAAGAAGCCAGACCAGAATGCTGAAAGCCATGCAGACAGAAAGACCAGGCTCAGGAAGTTGCAGTTAGAAGAATTCCACTAGCACTTAGAATCCAGGCCATGTGCTCTGGCAGAAAATACGTCTACATTTTGGCCATGTGCAGACATTGGCGGAGCCTGAAATCTATGTGCGGTGGACTAATCTGAGGGAGGACATTCCAAGGCAGTCTACTGCTCAGGCAATGGCAGGACAGCTGGTGGTGGGTTTTAGCTCTACCTTGAAAGTCTAGAAGAATGATTTAGTTTTAAGTTTGGTCAGAAAAGAAGCCCCAATAAAGTTGCAGCCAGCAAAGATGCAGCAGACAGAGAATAAGGAGAAGAGAACAAGGTTGCCGAAATAACTGGCATTAAAAAGCTAACAGAAAAGAAAGCCTTAAGGCATCAGCCCCAGGACTCCATCCTTTGCAGTCCCCAAAATTGCAGAGGTTAAAGACTTTCTTTTTGAGAATGAGGCCCCAAGGCACCATGTTCCAGAATGGCACTTGCAAAGGTCATTTTTTCTTAGGACTGGGTTCCTAGTGCTCAGCAATCCAGGCAATCACCCTTATAACCGAGAAAGAAGGAAGCCTCACTACTTAGCCAGCTGGCAGCAGATTTTGGCATCATCCACATGGTGCTGGATTGGGGCACATGCAGAATGTAAGAGCTGTGAGGTCAGCAAGAGTTAGTTCTACCCAGACTTCAGAAGAGGACCCGGAGGCCAAGCACCATGCCCTTGAGACAACAGTGTGTGGAGTGCGGACTCAAAAGGTACAGCGGAGACCTCAGAAGTGTGGAGAATCCAGGAACATGGAACGCCTGAGGAAAACTGCAAGGAGGAGCAGAGCCAGCCCAAGACAGAAGCCACAGGAGCTTGACCCAGTGGAAGTGCAGTAGGGTGCTGCCGCCCAAGCCCTTTGCAGTTTCACATTTTGCCACAGACTATCCCAGGTGCTGGATATGGGACTAAGGGATTTAATGTTTGCCCGGCTGGATTCTATTCCATTATTGGTACCTTTCTAGGCCCTTACTGGAACTATTCTGAATGGAAACGTTTAACCTGTGCCACTGTAAGCTGGAAGTGTTTAACTTTATTTATGCCCTAACCTTATTTTCACCCTAACGCTAACAGGACCATATGGAAACATTTAAGATTTGTCACTTAGGAAATCCTTAGTGTTTGGTTTTTTTTTTTTCCAACTTATTAAAATTATAAAATAAAGAGATATTTTATTTACTGATTTTCAATCTCTTGTTAACTGACATTAAAATTATTCGGGGAGATCACAATACTGTTGATACACAAGTTTGGAAGATTAAATGAGAATTTATAAGTATGTTTCAAAGGCAGGCTTCAGTATATAATTTCTTTACGTTAAGAGGTGGGTGTCAAACCTATTTAACAGAATAGAATTTCTTAAACAGACCAAGACAAGAAATGCTCATGTCCAATCCAACCTTTGGATTCTAGAATTATTTTTTTATATAATTACATTTTGAAACAAAAAAATTCTAGTAAATAATACAATTTAGGAAGGGGTCAATTATAGGTACAGTATAATTTATCAAAGTGACTAGAGGTCATAACTACAGTTATAAAAAGATATGACAAGAAAAGGAAATTTACTTTTATTCCCCTTTTGCTAACTGTATACAAAATAAGCTCATTACATAAGCTATAATATCTGAATATCAAACTATGGTGAAGTAAATTTTTTCATTTGGTAGAAACATGTAAAATAATTTCAAAATACTATTTTTTTACTGAATATAAAACTGAACTTTGTTTCCTGAATATAAAACTGGACCCCAAAATGATCAAGTTGTAATAACTAAATTCATAAATATAATCAATTATCATAAATTGTATTTTCTAAGATGTGCTTGTGTGGGATAGCAACAAACAAAATTCTAGAAATGTAGCTTTAAAATTTAATTCTTGAGAAAAGTGAACTATAAAATTTATAGTCATTAATTTCTATAATATGAAATTAAAATGTAGGAACAATGACATATAAACCAACAACTGACAAGTATTCTGTACGTATAAGAGATTCTATACATACTTGGAATGGAAAGCCTAGTCCAAGTTTCACTCTAAATTTGTTTCTTGTAATATACACAGTATTGCAATAATACTGATACATAATTTTATCCATAGACTAATATAAACTAACAAAGTAAGTGGGATATTTTCTTAGTAATTCTCTTAAGAGTTCAGATATTAGTTCATTTAATTCAATAGGGCTTTTTCTCAATTGATTAAGCAAGTTACTACAGGAAATATAACTTGTAAAAATAAGCCAATATATGCAAACTAAGAATATTTCTAATTCTCCTTCCTAAAGAGAAAACTGGAAATAATATTAATTCCAGAAACTTTACTAGGTTAATAAATGTGTTAATTTGACAAGGCTACAGTTTGAGTTATTTAAGCTCATACGGTAATATTTTAACTAAATACTTTATAACATACACAAGAACAAAGTCTCTTACTTTTAGAGGCCTGCACACACCCTCAGTGATATGCCCAACAACTTCTTGAATATTTTCTTCGACACCTAAAATAAATCACATAATTTAAAATGCTTTCCACATTATATCTTTCTACACATAAATTCAAAAAACTAACACCTACAATTGGTAGCATCAGTAACACTTAAAATGATTGTTACAGTATTTTATTAAGTTTGATATTTTCAAGGACATTACTAGTTATGGTAATTATACCTGATATGTGATGATAACTAAATGTGTATCTAGAAATCCTTGCTAATTCATTTGACTACTGAACCAACGAAATGAAAATTCTTTGTGAGAAAGAGTATGAAGCAGACGGAAAAACAGACTATAAAATATTTTTTTAATAAAGCTCTTTTACTGTCTCATTTAAATATCAGATTGGCTTTACAATCCAGAAGCTTGTTTCTGTGGCTGGATTAACTCTTGGATCTTACTCATCTGGCTATTGAACTGTTCCCTTTTCAGAAACAGATACCATCCAAAAATTTTCTGATATCCTTGTTTTTGACTGTTGTGGCTTGCTGAATCAAAGCAGCTAAATTTGAAACAAGCTCAGTGTCACTTCCTTTAAGGATTAGTTCATCTTTCTGGGTTTGAGATACTGAGCAAGCAACACCTGCCCTCATATGAACTCAGCAAATGTATTTTTCACCCAAGAAATTCCGAATTTCGACAAGAGACCCATTCTCCTAAATAACGATGTTGATGGGGAAGTGAGCATACCCAGACCTCATCTTACAAACGAAAACCCAGTGTAACCCCTTAATCATGTTCTGTACATGGCTACAAATCATGTGGACAGTTGCCAACTCCTTTCTGTTTCCCCACCATCTGTCAACTCGGAGCCTCTTTTTTCTTCCCAAGGAGACTGATGTGGTTGAAGTCCCTCTGGAGGGTTACTCTGAGGCCCTTCACAATAACTGTACGTCCTTTCAGAGTGATGTCGACATTTTCTGGACTGTCGACTGTCTGATTGCTAAGAATGGTCTTCATTCTTGCGGGAGACGCAGCAAAGCCAGACTATAAAATATTTAACTGAAGGTGATATGAAGCCCCAGTACTACATGCCATGCCAGCCCCAGAACCAAAGGGCACAGTGCCACCAAAACTGGGCGTGGCGGCATATGCTTATAATCCCAGTGCTGGCCAGGCTGAGACAAGAGGATTACTACTATGAGTCCGAGCTGCTTAGCAAGATCCTGTACCAGATAGAAAGACAGACAGACAGACAGATAGATGAACAGATCGATAGATCGACAGACAGATAGAAATGTGAAGATGTGTTCACATTTGTTTTACTCATCCCTTTTGTAAGATATTAATACAGAGCATGCATCCTGCAATCCAAAGGAAAAAACTGACCCTGCCTAAATACGGTACTGTGTATTTGACATTTACTACTTGTAACCATCTTCATTTTTACATTGGTAGAAACTGAACCCCAAATGATTTATGTCAATGCAACAGAGTAACCTATTTTATCCAATGCCACCTCTCTTAATCTTTCACAGATGATTTTCTAAAACATCTTTAAAGAAAAATATTCTTTTAATAAGGTAATCTGTTAAAATGCTAACTTTTTCCACTCTATACTATATGCTGAAGAGCTCAATTCTATGAGATTATGAGTTACTATGGATTTGCACTTGGCCTCCCACAGATCACGTGAAGAACCACTGTGCTGTGAGGCTGGACAGCGCAAGTCAAGGGACACCAGGGACAGTATCATCTCACGCCCATTAAAGACAGAACATTTTTTTATTATACACTAATCCCTCAAGCTCTGAAACAGTCCTCTTCTACAGCTACAACTCAGAAGATTTGAAATTTCATAGATAAGAATCAGCACCTCTCAAATGTAGTTATTGCTCTCCCCTGAAACGAAGACAAAAATTTTAAGTATGTTTAGTACAAATAATTATTTTTTTTAAAAGAGGCTGAGTAGTAGGAATAAAAGAATTAGCAACTTAATGACTGTAAGCAAGTCACTCAGCTTGTTTATTCACAGATAAAATGAAGATATTATCAATTTTTACATTTAAAGTGCCACATTGTAGATCTGAGACAATGTATGCCAGACACTCCAGAATGTTTACCAGTGAAGCAGAGGAGTGTAGGCTTGATATGGAAGGTAAAAGGTCCACTATAAAACTGAACAGTTAAGTGAAAGGCAAACAGGATGGGGGAGAAAGTCTATTAACAGAACAAGGGCGATCTAGCAAGAGCAAGATGAATGAGGGTGTTTATTGTACCATCCAGGTGTGAAGTGTTTATCTCAGTGAAGAAGGTGGCAACAAGAACAGAAAGAGAAAAGCTTTATTTTCTGTTTAGGCGCAGCAATAACAATCAGCGCACCCACCTGGTGCAGTTACACGCTTTAAGAAGGCCTCAAGGTGTTCCTTTTCAGAAGCAGTAGCTTGATGGAGCCACGCCAACATATCTCCCACATACCTAACAACAGCTATGGATTAGTACAGATATCTTCAGAAACCCCTTCACAGTCTGTAGTAGAGTGTGATTACTATACCTCAAGGGGTCATGGGAGTGCATTTCAATTGGTCTAGGTGTACCTCCTGGGCCTCCTCTTGTAAGGGCATCGATAAACCCTCGGACAACTGTACTTCGTCTGGCTGTTCCAAATTCATCTAAGGTATACCTATAAGAAACAGGTTATATGACAGACAGCTGATTTTTTTCCTAAAGGTTATCAGACTATTCCCCATGTGACTTTTAAGATAAGCAAGATATTTAGAACTTCTTTCAGTGATCTGTTGAACTATACTACTTATAAATTAAATTAAAAAATCACAAGATAAGCTGAGGATACTGAAAAACCCAATCTAAAGATACACAATTTTTACTTCTCCTAAGAAAAAAAATGCTGGGACTGGGGATGAAAGAGTGGCAACAGCAGCAAAGGGCAGAGCAGTGGCTTTACTAAAGATTATTAAAAAAAAAAAAAAAAAAAAAAAAGCTAAGGTAGCATAATGATTTGTGTCTAGCTGACCCCTCAAAGCCTCATGCAGTCATGGGACAGCTTCTGGAGTTTGTGATTGATTCCTGATCCAGTGCTGGGATCCAGTGCTGGGATCCAGTGCTGGATTTAAGGGGTGAGTACCCTGGGGCAGATACTTTGCATTACAATGTAAGGAGGGGAGAAAGGCTGGAGCTAGCTGCCAGAGCTGCTACCATTCCTTTTCCTTTTGCTCTTTGCCACCACCATGAATGGCTGCTGCGTGCCACCATGTGGCGCTCTGCCTTGGAGCCAGCTGAGTATGGACTGAAACCGCCACTGACTATGAGCTAAATAAACCTTTCCTTCCTTTATTTTGGATGTCGGGTATTTTGTCCCAGCAACAAGAGAAACGTAATTGAAACAAGTAGGAATCCTGAATGACTGAGTATCCTTGTGACCCACAACATGATACTTGATGACTTTACAGGAAGTCATATACCTGGTTCCCAGAATGGTTATAATGAGAACTCTGAGATTAAAAAAAAAGTAACACCTCTATGTGAAAGCATTCTCCTTATAATAATATTACTTGCTACCGAAATTTGCCTCCAAAATTGTTATTTTTAAAATCTTATTCTGAGTCCAATATGAAGACACATTCGACATTCCATAAATTTACTATGTAGATACAGCCAACATTTTTTTCTTTTGAACTATAAATAATCTACTATAACTGAAAACAGGAAAAACCATTCTATGGTAAAGGATTGGGCAGGGAGGGAAAGCTCTGAGCTGGCAGACAAGCTACTTTGGGATGTACTTTATAAGGGTGGCCTGGAGCTGCCAAGAACTGCCTCTCACGAGGCTGAGCTGCTTTCTAGTCCCTATTACCATGCTCCAATTAAAACTCAATGCTTAAAGTACACAAGAAAAAGAATTTAGTACCCTAAAGTCAGCAGATTTTATACCCCTTATTAAATCCTTAAACACTATTCTACCAGACTACATATTAAAATTTATTTCACTAACCAACATACAAATAAAACTAACCAAACATCCCCAAATATTTCCAGAAGAACTATCTAGTTTAACATACTGCTGATTTCATGAAAATCACATTTTGTTAAAGCTGGGAAAGTTGGTAGACTGGTTACTTCCAACTAACAGTAACAGTATAAAGCAGTGACAAATAACTAGTCTTAGGAATCCGAACCTTTTCTGAGGACTGTTCACTATTAATTACTCTGTGGTTCTTTTTGCATGTGTTTGTTTTCACTTAAAAAGGCTTTCTCTTAAATGACAACTTAACTGTATAAAATATAGTTATTATCAGATGTTATCACAGTGAGACATTCAGAAACTTTTAACTTTTTAAATATATAAAACTTGAGACTCGGCATGGTGGCGCACACCTCCCAGCTCTTGGGAAGCTGTAAACAGGCGGATCACTACAAGTCCAATCTAGTTGTGAGACCCTGAACACGCTGTAGACTCTTCCCTAAAATACAAAAAATAATAAATAAAAACACATATGTAAAACTAATCTTTCCCAAGATTAGTTCACTGTAAACAGAAACAACAGAATTTCTGCTACGGGGACTGCTCACGGGGAGCAGTGTGACATCAGCAATAATTGAATCCACTTGTATTTTAAATTGGGCTGAGGAGTTTGTTAAAACAGGTAAACTCTGAGATTTAATCTGTAAAACAACATGAAATATCAGTAAACATTAATGTTAACACTACTGCAGAACAAATATAGTTTAAGCAAAATACCACAAATCACGAGACTCTTCAGTCGTATCTGTTACACATAAAACATCTTTTGCAGAGTCAAAGGAAAACTTGTCTACCAACGAAGGACAAAATTTAAAGATGTAGCTCTCTTTTTTTGCCTCCCCCCCTTGTAAAGATGAAGATCCAAAGAATATAAACAATGCAACAAAAATACATAAATAATGATGAAAAATCGCATTTTACAAATAAAAAATCATGAAATCACTTGTTATGAGGGTTTTCCAAAACAAAGAAAGCAATACTTTTTCATTTCTACTTATAATAAATTTCTTTTTAAAGAATTTTCGGTACTCAAAACGATACATTATTACAGTCATATACTACTGAAAAAAAAGTGAGTTAAGCTATTTTCCCCAAAGGTTCAATAACGGACATATTCCTGCATATACACCTACACATACTAGATATAAGGAACAGTGATGCTTTTGCACACTTTAGAATTATTAAATAAAGTTCACATAGTGCCATCTGGTGGTTAACATGAAACATCAACTTTTCCTAAATTTAATGAAACTACCACCTAACAGTTGATGATTACTGAAGAAAAGGCAAATTTTCTTTATTTGCCTTCCCTTTTTTAGCATTCACTATATCCTAATCAGCTGGTCTTAAAAAAAGACTACCTTACCACTCAACTTCCAAATATCTCTTAAAATCTTTCAAGTTGCTACTATTGTCTGTTTCCAGGCACATACCTTTTGTCTATTTGCTTCTTCGTTCTTTGTCATTTGTGTATTTATTCTAGTTATCACATAGTCCTTAAACATACATCTACTTAGTTGACAGCATTTTGATCTCCTCTTTTAATAAAATACAAAAAATTAGTATACCTCAAACATCATCCTTCATCTTAGGTGAATGATACAATTTAACCTTACAGCCCTGCAAGGGAGGCACTATTCTCATTTTGCAGCTAATGAAACTGATGCTTAGATAGGGTCAAAGGCTCATTAGACCTGCCTCAAAGTCCACCTCAAAAATTCACCATCTGCTTCCTTCCCAATGTTGATCAAGAGTCATAACATAATGACATGCTGTCTCATCCCAGTTAAAAGGGCTATTATAAAAAAAAATGCTGATGAGCATGTGGAAGAAAAGGAGTTTTTATGCACTCTTGGTAGGAATGTAAATTAATAGAAGCATTATGTGAGGCAGTATAAAGAAGCCTCAAAAACTAAATACAGATTTACAGCGCAACCCAGCATCCCTCCCTTGAGTCTATACCCCAAGGAAATGAAGCTGACACAGCAAAGGGATGCTTGCATGTCTGTGTACACGAAGGCTCTATTCACAATGCTAAGATATGGAAGCAGGACAAAGCGCCCATCAACAGATGAGTGAAGATGCAGTACACATGCACAGTGGTGTATCATGAAGTCATGCAGAATGAAAGCTTGTCATCTGCAGCAAGATGAACAGAACTGGACACCATGTGGAGTGAAATGATGCAGACACAGACAAGCATGCTTTCTCCTCATGTGGAAAAAAGAAAGGTTAACCTGCGAGAGAGAAGGTAAGGACCTGGAGCTGGGAAGGACACCGGCAGGAGAGACAGGGTGCGCACGAAGAGGGGAGGGTGCGTGCTGCGTGACACACGGAAAGATCACAGCAAAGCTCATCACTATGTGCAATTAATGTTTAATAAAAAGATATCAATATCGTAACACAGTAAAAATGCACTAGCAGGAGCCAGCTGTCCTTTTTAGGTGCCCAAACACACAAAGACATTTATAAAGAGAAGATTAAAAAATATCCTTTGAACAAGAATTTCACACATAATGTAATACTTGGTTAAAAATCAAACACCAAATGCTTGAAGTACTGAAAGACTCATAATCAATACCAATATGTTAAAGTGAAAACCCTGAGAAAGAAATTTCAAAGTAGAAATAAACTGTCAGGGTGCTGGCCAGCTGTCAACATCACCTTATGAAATGGACATGCACAATACTTGTGACTACTAAAATCCCACCTTTGCCGCCCACACGATAGCCAGTGAGCGCCTTTGCATTCCAGTTCAAAACAGTTCATTCAATCTGCATTTTTGATCTGCTACCCTACAACCCACTCTGTCTTCTTTGTCCAGGAAAAAGGTCATTCACCTTCAGAAACTCACTTTATACATATATCCCTTAAAATATGTTCCATAATGTTCATCTCTTTCCACTAAACAATATACGAGCCACACAGTACTTCGGATAAGACTTCTAGACCAGCAATTAATATACTCCATCTAAATCCGTTCACTTAGAAAATCTGTCTGGTTCCATAAAATAATGCAGTAGTTTGAGGGCAGTTCTTCTGATGTTGTGTCTCTGGCACTTAGAAAAGTTTCTAATATAGAGTTAAATATTAATTAGGCAGCAGTTACTGTCAGTTATTATTTTACATAGTTGTCCTATAATTTCTGTTCTGTAACTTTATTACAGAATAAGTAATGCTCAATCAAAAGGGGAAACCCTCTAAAAATAGCTCAAGAAGCCTCTCTGAAAGATGAACCTACTGGAAATAAATGGCTAATTCTGCTGGCCCTTCACTGAATTATCAATAACTCCTAGTTCCCTTATAGTCTACTTTCATACTACTCCAGGCATTTTTGTAAGAACATTTACTTTTGATTCAATAATAATAAAATTAAGAATAATTTAAAAACTCAAGTTAAAATACACAGGATTCTTATCCTAAATATTATAACTGAGTTCTTGGTTAGTATAACTTAGAAGACTGAAGATAGGGACTCTTTTCTTGCATCCTATTGAAGGAGCTCAGATTCTAAATATGCTTTTTCATCTCTGGGTAATAGTAACTCACAGTCCCTGTACCTGCCTTCTCTCTAGGGCAGGGTTACACTTGAGTTTTAGAGAGTTACAGTTCGAAGGGACTGAATGACATGCAGACTGGGCACACCATTTGGTCTCAATAAACTAGTTACAAAACTACCTTGGTCTTGCCCTCTGTAGTCTGTTCTACAGCACATAACATCCAACTAACCAAATGCTCCAGTGATACATGAGATCAAAATATCACTACACATTTTGATTACCCAAACTATTACATCAAAGAAAAAGTAGAATTTCTTACTTATATAAGACAGGTCTATCCTGTAGGGCTTCCATTGCCTGAGTTAATACAGGAGATACATCGCATGACTCTTGTGTTAGCGTTCTACATTCACCTAAAAAATAATTAACATAATAGCATCTGTGAAGATAAAATAAGGTCTTTATTCATCTACTGTATTCTAGAAGTCTAAATTCATCAGCAAACTTTCTCATGAAAAAAATACTTAGAAAAACAGAGAACACAGGAAACAAAACCTAAATGCTATCAACCAAAGTAAAAGTTTAAGCTTAAGTAATTATAAAACTTTACAGGGCCACATGTTACAGGTATGCTCCAGATTTGTAGTATTTTATTGCAAGATTACAGTTTGGAGTAAATCAATCAACTCTGTGAGATGGTGGGGAAATAGAATAAAATTTGAGATGACATCCTTGGCTTTGGGAAAGTATAATTTAACTACAAATATAACAAATACACCACGAAGAGCTACTGAACAATGAGAGCAGCATACCACCAGATGCTAAGTAAATGCTTCCAGTGGGTAGTATCAAGAAATGAGAATTTACTGCGAAATTCTATAGTCACAGTTTCAGGAAGATGTAAAATCTATGATAGAGGACATTCAACTTGGAAGACTGAGGGAAGATTTGGGCAGAAAGAGAGTTAGACAAGAGATGTGAGTGAATGGTAAACAATACAAGAGACAGAGATAAACAGTAAGTAACCTAGTCCAGTGTGGTAATTCAGCCAGTATAGTAGCACTATAGGTATGTAATATACATATGTCAAGTATACGTATAACTAGTTAATTGGATTTAATGCCAACACCTTCCAACAGTCAGTTGTCAACATGCAGTAAAATACCACGTGTTCCTATTCCATTATTCCACTTATTACTCTTTTGGAGTGTTTTCTCTGGTTTTAACACTGTGTAAACAGTTCACTGAAACATTTTAAAACAACAGTAAGTAAAGCATTTATGACCATCAAAATAATGACCTACAAAGTTACCCACATTCTAATCCTTGGAACCTGAGAACACATTATCTTCTGGCAAAAGAGACTTTGCAGGGACAAATCTTACTCAAGTGCAAAGATAGTCACACAGTCCTGAAGTTGAAGACGCTGGCAGAAGTATATGTCAGAGACAGGTAAGAGATAAGAGGAACAAAAGTTCAAAGCTAGAGATGGTTGTGATCTGTCTTGGCTGGTTTTGCGGCTGAAAGAAGAGGTCATAAGCCAAAGAATAAGGAAGCTTCTAGAAACTGAGAAAAATGCACAATGACAGCTGGCAAGAAAATGAGACCTCAACCCTACAAATGCAAGGAATGCAATGGTACCAACCAACAGAATGAGTAAGGAGATGGACTGTCCCTTAGAATCCTACAGCCCTGCCAACACTGATTTCAGCACAGTGAGACCCTCCATGTTTGACATCTGACCTACAGAATCCTATCACAATAAATGTGTTACTGTAAGTTATTAAGTTTGTAGCAACTTGTTACAGTGAAAAGAGACAACTCAAACTCACCATTTACAACTTCATAGTTATGTAAATACTGAGATATACCAACAAATTTAAGAAAATCCAGGACAGAAACTGTCTGTATTCTCATCTTTCATCAAGTATACCGCCTGACTGTAATAAATGATCATGATGCAGGCACAAAGAAAGCTCAAATGTAGTTTGCTTTTTATAATCAAAATATATCAAACAAAGGCCAAGAGAAATTTTAAAAATCAAGTATTTGTTTTCACAAAATTAGACAACATGAAAAAAATCACTTACTTTGAGCCCATCGATAAAGTCTTTCATAAGCTGTTTCTTGAAGTAAAGCCATCTGTTCCATAATTTCTAAACTAAAAAAATAAATATTTATTATATTTTAAATTTCTAGTCACTAGCTAGAGCTAAGCACTTAACTATTTTTACTTAATTACATAATGATTTGGCTCTTCAATATTTAATTTTATCATTTTATCATGACTTTCCAGTTTTTTTGGCAATTAAATACATGTCAAATTTTAATTCCATCACTTGCTTATCAACTGCTATTTTAGTGTAAACACGTCACAGTACAACATTCCCCTCTTCTTTGGCCAAGCAATGGCTGTGACTCATTCACATGACTGACACTGACAACGGTTCTACAATCTGAGGTACAGGATCTCAGGATAAACCCTGAGGGGATTTCACAGACCTTATCAGACCCAAAGATACAACTCTTGTTGCATAGGTCCTGCTTTACCTTGGTCTTAACCATTCAGAAGAAAAGTATAAAAACGAAATACAAGAAGTAAAGCCATGCTGTTATACTGAGCTGTGGGGGGACTCAGGTCATCAATTTGTGACAATGCCAGTGAAGCGGAAGATCCAATACTAGTGTGGGCTGCTGGACTCTTTTGGAATGTTTTGCTGAGTTTACACACCTATAATATTCAAATAACGGAATTTAACAAAAAAAAGGTATACAGATGAATGTCCATTTTGTATCTGTGTATTCAGAGAGGTTGGGATAGATATATAGTTACATTCTCTTAATGAATAGAATGATTTGTTCTAATGGTGTTTGTACATGGGATGTCAGGTTTGCATCTGGTACAGCAATTAACCACTAAGAAAAATGTATGCAGTGTGTTAATTATTGAAACTGTCCTATCGATTTGATTTGAAACTGTCTCATTGCTATTTGTTTATCAATAAAATTATGGCCAAAAAAAATAATAATAAGGAGAAACATGGGCCAGGGATTATAGTTCAGCAGCATGAGCACCTGTCTGGCAAGCACAAGGTCCCAAGTTTGATCCCCAATACTGCCAAAAACCAAAGAAATAAAAGTTCAAAAAAAAAAAAAAATTCCCCTCTTCTAAAGAAAAATAAAGATCTACTTCCATTTCACAAAATGTCACAGAGTGTCAAAACGAACCTAGACTACCTGCCCAGACGGGGAGGTTCATGCCTGCAATCCTAGCAGTTGGAAAGCTGAAGTAGGAGGACTGATGCAAATTCAAACACCTCACACAGTGAGCTCAAGGCCAGCTTGCACTACACAGTGAGACTTTGTCTCAGAAACAAAAACCAAAAAAGCCCCTGAGAATAGCTAAAAATTTTGTATATAATACAAAGAACAATGCAATCAGCTCAATAAATAGTTACTTACCCTGCTGTTTGTTGGTTTGTACGCAAAAGTACTTTGACATCATTATGAATCTGTTTTACTCTTCCCAAGGCCTTGAAAAAATCCTTTAAAATTAAAAATGTGACTTGAAAATGTTTATGCTTCTAGGAAAAATTACAGTATTCTCAATTACAGATCATTACAAAAACAGAGTTTCACCTATGCTAGTAGTCTTCCTGTACTGATCTCAACTTTCTTCAGGTTTTTATAAATGGTATAAGCATTTAAGATGTATATTAATTTAATGCCAATTATGTGCCAAATAATATGCTAATTGCCAGGACACAAGATTTATAAACATACAAATTTATGTTTTCCACCAGGATACGGTCTAGTAAGAGACGTGTGAATATAGGCAATGAAGAAGCATACACTACGTAATACATATTTTACGATTTCAGCATGGTATTCTTAGCACTGAAGATACTTATGTGCTGTATACCTGTTTTTGCCTCTCAGCCAAGAATAGAATGCAAAGTTAAACGTATAAAAAATTCTCACTAAACAGACAAATTAAATGATTCTGAACTGACCACTGGGTTTTATTTTTCTTTACAAAAATGTGTTGGAGCCCTTGTTTCAGATGCTACATACAAAACCAGCAAGTGATGTTCACAGAGATCCCAGCACACCTCAAGAACCCCCCGGTCCCCCTGAGAGGTTAACAAGCTGACAATTGGCTGACAGAATGACAACAATAGACTTATATGCCTCCCCTCAGTTAAGAAACCAAAAGACTCCTTTCTGGGACAGCTATATGTTTTCTGGGAAGGGCAAGAAGGAAGGGAGTGAGGTAAAGGCAAAAAGAAAGGGAGGAAAGGTAAGAGGAAGGAAAGAAAAAGAGGTGGGAAGCAGAATAACTTTGTTTAGCATTTACAAAAGTTTATAATCCTATCAGTTTTCAAAGAATGTGATAACCTAAAAATTTACATAAAAAGATAATTTCGAATTCCAGAAAAGACAGTTATTTTTATTAAAAAAACACATTATCAACGTAATACCACTGTGATGAAAATGCAGAATGTGGCACAACCATACTGCAAAGGAAGAAGCAGATGCACGCGTGTCTTGTTTGTGTCACAGTGGGGAAAGGAGGTAAGAGGCCTAATCATCACGTTTCATGTGGGAAATCCGCAGTAAGTAGCTAATATAGGTAGTCATAGTGTATTCTTTTTAATTATAGGTCTGCAGTACAGAATTTATAGAAGAAGTTAACAAGCAGGAAACTGGTTGACAAAGGTGGGCAGGAATGACAGAAGTCATACAAGTTTTCTTAATAAGCTGTGTGGTGCTGATTTCAAAAAAATACATGTGTAACTTTGAAAAAAACAACAAACCCAAAATTAAAAATACTTAAACATGCACATTAATCTGCAATTTAAAAATATTTCAATTTTTTTTTTTTCAGATAGCAAAATAAAGATTCAAAGTAACATGCTCTCTAACTGCTGCCCTTAAAGTGATTCTCACACAGAGTAAGTACCTCAGTAACAGGTCCTTCTCGTGTACCTCGGAGAAGACTCATTTCCTCATTAGTCAGCTGGAACTTGGCTAAGAAGGCATCTGCAACTTGTGCTCTTATTTCCAACCTTTGACTATCATGGAAAAAGCAATACAAATCAAACATGTTATGTATTTGTAAAGCTGTAAAGCAAATTATAACTGACATAGCTTTTGAAAACAAAGGTGTGAAAGACTATTAACATCACTGAAAACCCAATTGTTCTGTCTTACATATTAGAAACTCATCAGTCATATACGCAATAAAATTATCACAGGCTCACCAGACACGTACACAATAAAACTAGTTGACAGTGTTCTACCTAGACACCTGCACACAGTAAAAAGAATAGATCGTTATAAAAAAGAAGAAATAAGTTCAAGTACATTACAAACTTTCAGCCACTTACAAGTACTTGAATAATTTAACTTATCATTTAAAAGGTTATTTTTCTGGGAGAGAAATATGCTCCTATTTATCAGTTTCTTCAGTCACTAGCATATCCAAAGTTTTTGAAGTTTTCACATGAAATATATACAATAAACCATCAGGTCTGTTTTTTATTTTAGATATAATCAACAACTCCTTTAGTAATCCTTCACAAATAAAGAAAGTCCCTTCTCCATTTTGGTCTTCCTCACGTCTTCTCCTTGACAATGAAAACATTCTTTCAAATTACAGTACCTGAGTGCAACTTAAGTAGACTAGCAGACAACTCGGAAAAAGCACACTTTATTCTGGGTGCCATCTACAGACATGGAGGAGAGGCAGGGCTACCATCCAAAGATCAGTCATGACCGTGAACTGCAGCCACAGACACTCACCATTCTTAGTTTCTGTATCTTAGATCTGAAGATGTACAAATGAAATCATGAAAGTGTTTTACCACTAGTGTTCAGAGCAGCATTCCATAATCCAACAATATTCAAATGGGAACTAACAGAGTAAACAGACACCACTTTTAGAGATGGCAAAATACACTTGTCCTCTTAGTACCTCGGGGTTAGGTTTCTAAATTCATGAAACCACATGCTCCTGCTGAATAACACAGAAACTTAAGAAGGAAAAGCCACTTGAGTATTCATCTCAAATGAGGAGGTAAATCATCTAAGTATACACAGAGTTAAAGGGCATAGTTTTTAAAAATTTAATTACTGTCAAATCACTACCATTTTGTTTAGCAAAATACTGTATCATTTCTATTTGTTACTATTTTGACTCTCTTTAAAAAATAAAAAAAAATTAGTTTTAGTTTTAAACTTTTATTAGCACATTTGTTGCACATAACGTTTCCATTCCTTGTGCGGAGCTGGTACACACACACAGCTTAACTTTTTCATCCCCTTTCTCTTCCCTCTCCCACTTTACCTCTTGGCCCCCTTCCCGTCTGAAAATATCTATCAGCAGACTTACTATTATCTATACTGTATTTGGCTCTTTATCTAAACTTTGGAGTTCTCATATAAGAGAAACCATATATTTCAGCTTGTGGTTCTGATTCATTTCACTTCACATATAACTTTTATCTGAAAGTCACCTCGGCAGGTTTTATAATATCAAAGTTCCAATTATTACCATACAGGATTTAATTAGAAAGTTTCATAAAATTCTTTGAGACTATATAAATCATTTCACAACTACAATCTTTTTAGAGCTTTTTACAATCAATCTTTAGAATCAGTTTATTAGGGACAAAGAAAAGCCCAACTCTTTAGTTTATAGTTTCATTTTGTCCTAACTAAAACTAGTGTTGCCATCAGTCACTTAATTGGTTCCAAGTAATACAGCTGACTGAATATAACGATCAAGTCATGAAATACGAAGTGAACCACACACTTTAACTGTACAAGAGACAGCCCCAAAATATCTAAAATAAGGGTCTGCTTTCTCAAGACAGCAGCATCTAATTAGTAACAAAATGAATTGTGACATATTTTAAAAATTGTATTACTCTTTAGTTTGTAGTGGCGATTTTTGTTTGTTTTGCTACCGGGAATGGAATTCAGGATCATGTGCTTGCCAGGCAGGCGCTGAAGCCACTCAGCTTTCTCCCTGGTCCTCCTCTTTCATTTTACTGTATGTACTCTTGTTGGGTAAATAAGCAAAACCATTGTGACAGAAAGTTATGTTCAGAAGGTTCTTCAGTGTACCTGGTGGAATTTGTGCACTGTAATGGTAGCAATGGGGAAAGTCCTGAAGGAGGCGAGTGTAACAGAAGGCAAACAGGATGTAGACCTGGCCCTTACCTCATGCCACCAAGTTTTATGTAGATCTGAAAATTACATGAATTAACATAAGCTATTTTACATAAATGATTACAGTTTCTACAGTACTTGAGATATATTCAGGCAATTACTATATATGATATGAATAAGTCATAAGATACATATAAATAAAACAAAGACATACTATAGAATATACAGCTGATTAAAAACACGAAGTAGATCTGTATCAATAAATATTTTTTATGACATTTTAGATACAAAAAACAAGCTGCAGAAAAATATTTATGGGAACTCCCATTCTTTTGCTTGTTTCTTTTTGTTTATTGAGACAGGGTCTTACGATGTAGTACAGGCTGGCCTTAAACTCATTATGCAGTCCAGGCAGGATTAGAGCTCTTGGTGAGCCTGTCTGTAATCCCTCCTGAGTGCTGAGATTACAGGCATTCACAATCATGTGCAGCTGCATTTATTTTTTAAAAGTAACTATAAACACACATACATAGGCCATACCCAGTTACATATTGCCTAATAATTTAAACAGACCGCTTCCTTCATTTTTATTTTCTAATTCTATCAAATGATTCCAGAACATGATTTAGAAATCCTTTGGTTCTTCCCGCCTTGGCAAAAAAATACACCTTTATCAAATTCATATATTAACTTCCAGGCTCTCCGTGAAATAATTTCAAAATAATACAATATGGACACAGAATACAAAACGAAATTTTTAAAGTGTGAAGAAATGTAAATGGCAAAATAAAAAAAGGTCAATTCACTACTCTTGTATAGCATATTAATTAAAAATGTAGTATCTTTCATCTATAAAAATGGCAATGGGGCCAGCGAGATAAGTCAGTGGTCTAAAGCACCTACTTAGGCAAGCTTAGATAGGCGCAAGGGACCATGGTTTGATCCCTGGCACCACATGCCACACCAGCCCTACCTCAGGGTGGGCCAAAGTGGCCAAAAGACAAAATGGCAATGTTTTAGTGATAATAATTAGTGTTTACAATAGCTTAATAAAACAAATACTCAAGTGTGTGTACATTTTTTTCTCACATATATATCCATTCTATGTATAAATTAGTATGACCTTTTTTAGAGAGAAATTAGACAAATATATATTAGCACACTTAAAAATGTTTGTAACATTGTTTTGTTAATTACAATTCCACTTATTTATCCTCAGCAAAGAATGTGAACTTTACCTAATGAATTTTTAAATGTTTACTGAGCCACTATTTTTCAAAATGGGAAAAACAGAAACATTCACTCATTTAAGGATGGTTAAACAGGTCCATAGATACAGCTCAGCAGCACAAACACCTGCCTGGCAAGCACAAGCACAAGGTCCTGAATTCAGTTCTCACTAACACACACACAAAAAAAGAACAGTTTAAACATAAGTGGGTTCATTCAAGACAAAACACAATATTAATATTAAGGATACCAACTTTTAAAATAAAAATCAATAAAAGACATGTAAAATATTATGTGAAAAAGCTAAAATATAACTAACCTCTTTATATCTCATTTTAACTTTCTTTAAATTTCATGCAATAGATACGTTATGTTTAAAAAAATTAAGGAGAACATACGTTTCTGCACTCAAAAAATTCCTTTTACTCAAAAGAGTGATAAGTGAAAGGACCCTCTATTGACATGATTTTTAAGCTTCTGCTTGTCAATTATAACTCCTAAGCCACAGTGTTTCTACAAGACTCTTGATTCTAAAATAGAAAAATTTTCCACTTTAAGTTTCTATAATGTATCAAATTGAAAGTGAGACATCTTTAAAAAGACTGTTTAATAAAGACTCATTAGTAAGAAAAATCCTACAAATAGGCTGTTCATATGCCAGCATTCCTAGTCTCAGGCCATAATTTTAAAATCCAACGAATAAAACAAACTCTAAATTGTGTGCGTGTGTGCATATGTCCTTGGCACTGGGCTGCATGGTCTGCCAAGAATGGGTTCAGACTTGTTGGGACACTCCTGCCTCAGTTTTCTAAAGTACTAGGGTTACAACTGTGCTCCGCCCTCCTAGCCACATTTCTAAGATTTAGAATTTAACATTTTAGAAACTAGGAGATAGAATAATTCTGATGTAAAGGTACGTTTTAAAAACCTAGCAAGTACAAATAAAAAAGTATAAATTACACTATACAAAAATTAAAAGCATTTATATATTGAACAATATAAAGTGAAAAGATCACCACAGGATAGGAAAAAATCATAAACCTTTGTAAATCATAAACAATATATCTCTAGGGCCAGCCAAATAACTCAACAAATAAAGCGCCTGCACACAGGCACAGGGGTCGGATCCACAGGTCTGGCATAACGGCCCCACCCCTAGGGCACACAGAGACAGCAACTGAGACTGGGTGTGGTGGTGTGCGCCTTATATAATCCCAGCTTTTGGGAGGCTGTAAACAGGCCGATCACTACAAGTCCGATCTAGTTAGTGAGACCCTGAACACTCTGTAGATCCTTCCCTAAAATACAAAAAAAAAAAAAAAAAAAAAAAGTTAAAAAAACCCCCAACATATCTCATAAGAAATTTGTATCCAAAAAAAATATACAGAATAAAAAACCAATAAATAAAAAGCTAAAGATCTCCAAAATAGGCAAAAGGTTTGAATAGAACCTTGTCTAGAAAAGATATGCAAACATCTAATAAGCCATTAAAAAGGTGCTCTCCATCATCAGTCCCTCAGGAAACACCAAAACCACAGTAAGAGTACCACTTCACACAGGGCAGTATGTTACTAAATAAGGTAGTAAAAATGCAATTATTATACACGTTGTTGGGAAAGTAAAACTCCAGCCTCTTTGGAATACAGACTGGAAGTTTCTTAGTTAAGTACAATTAAATTCAATCCAGCAATTCTACTACTAGGTATATGCCTAAGAGATACACGTGTACATCTATACAAAAACTTGCACATAAAGAATGCCGTTATTAATAATGGCCAAAAAGTAAAAATAATAAAAATACTTATCAACTAGCAAACAAAATGTGGTGCATCTATATAATGGAACTTTATTCTGCCATAAAAAGGAATAGAATAACACAGATGAGCTTTGAAAATATCTACGCTAAGTGAAAGAAACTAGACAAGAGGCCACACATTGTATGAGTCCATTTATATGAGCTCCGGAATAGGCAAATCACAGGCCAAAAACAGATTCATACTTGATTCAGGGTGCAGTGACTGCTTATATTCACGGCATTTCTTTCTAGGGTGATGAAAATGTATCAAATTTAGATTGTGATAATGGTTGCTCTGTGAATGTACTAAAAACAATGACTTACATAGTTTAAGGCCAGGACATGTCAGTATATGAATTATAACTCAACAAAGATTTTTCCAAGTAAAAAATATAGCTCTACATTTTAATATACAATGCCATTTAATACAATTATATAAAATTTGGTATTAAAAAGTATAGTCTGTAATACTGTATTGTCTTTCAGCTTGATATTTTTTCTTTCTTAGTAACTCTGATGTCAGTACAAGCACAATCCTACTGTTCCTAAAGAGATTCTCAAGTCATAAAAAAATCATAGGCAATCTCAGTAATAATTAAAATATTACAATAACTAAGTAACAGTCAATTCAATAAGCTTTTCATGTACAAAGCTCTGGCAACAAAGATGCGCTATCTAGCTAAAACTTACAAAGACCACAATGTCTAGCAAGAGCTACAGAGCGGAAGGTAAGCGCAATGATAGCAACATGCTGTGGGACTACAACGAAGGGCCTGAACCATTTTTGTTTTCATGAGTGAGTAGTAAAGGCCCTTAGATAAGCTCTGAAAATAGCTAGATAAAAACTGTAAAGTACAAACTAAAATCTCTATGAACTGAAATAGTTCTTCAAAGTA